AAACTCAAGTTAAATTACTTAACGCTGCCTCCTTGATCTCGTAAGTATCAAGAGTGCCTCTTAGGTTTCTCAATGACAATCTTAGTGACTCAGCTAGAGTTACACACACACACAGGGCCTGCTCAGTATTGATATTAATGCTAGCTCAACCCTGTCGTATATTATAGCAGTATCACAAAATTTTCACAAGAGATAATCAACACACCAAACACAATAGATAATCAGATAAGAATATCCTACAGGTGGCAGCGACCTTTTGTCAGTATCAATTTATCGCCACACAATTTATCAAGTCACTGCTTTGTTAAAATTAAACAATCTTTGATAAAAAGCAGTGATGACTCAGAAATAGATCAATAAAGCTTAGTCTTAAAGAAAAAGACTTCCCCCTATCGGAACGATCCGAAAGAACAAAGCCCAGGACACAGTCTTCTCAAGTGGGTGTGTATTTGCCTAATAAACCCACCGAGGTCTTCTTTTAGGTGCCCTGCAATTGCCCGAGCTGTCCTATTAAGTGGCTCAAGGCAACCTCTGATCGAAAATTTCTAAAGTCTATGAAAAAGTTCTCCCACACCCGGACTGCTCCAAGTGCACGAGAAACAACTTTTAGGGAACAACTTTTCTTCTCAAGTGAGTGTGTATTTGCCTGATACACTCACAGAGGTATTCTTTTATTTGTTCCCGGATTGCCCGAACTTTCCTATTAAGTAGCTCAAGGCAACCACACAACCAAAATCACAATAAAAAAAAAAAAAATTTTTTGTTCGGGTACTTCTGATACACCCGATCTAGAATCCAACGTTGATCACGAATTTCCGGGTCAAAATGGGCTCTTATGATCCTAATAAGCACGCCTAATATCCTAATATGATCTTAATTAAATGGATATTTTCCGTTTCCCAAATTGCCACAGAAGATTTCCTCAAGTTTCTGACAAGGAAGGTTGTTTGGAAGTTTTAAGACACTCCGGAGGGTTACTTCGGAGGGTTGTTAAGACACTTAGCCTACTTCGGAGGGAACCTTAATCACCCAAGTCACTTCGGAGGGTCCCCCTATCTTTACTAAGGAGGGTCAATAAGATGCTTAATATGCTCCGGAGGGTTAATTCGGAGGGTTACCTCCAAAATTTTCAAATTTCTGAGCCTCACTCAGAAGGGCCTTCAATTAACTTCAGGAAGCGTCAAAACAAGCTAAATTCTCTATGGGGGGGCTGTCTTAACTTCTTTGGATAACCTCGTGGAAATTTTCCACTGAGGAGGGTTGCTAAGGGCCTTAGCTGACTCCAGAGGGTTACCTCGGAGGGTTCCCCAAAAATCAAGAAAAAGGTTATGTTACCGCAATAAAGTCTCCAAAAGTGGTCTACCTGACTTAAAACTAGGTTGGCTGACACGGTCAACCTTCCCAGTTGGATAAAAAGGTGTTTTGATAAAAAAAATTTCTGCCGCTCGGAGGGTTACCTGTAATTTGGACCCTCCGAACCAACAAATTCTAAAAAAAATTTCTTTTCCGAGATTGACAACCCAAAAACGGTTGCGGTCCGGAAAAGTGGTCCAAAACGTCGACTTATGGTACCAAAATTATCCCAATCGGATGACTAGTCTTTGAGAAATTGCCAAAAACGTGTTTGTCCAAATGGCCCTTTTTTACCACCTATATAGGTTCTGAGAAACTTTTTCCGCAATTCCTATCGAAAGTGCCTAAAAATAACTGAAACGAGCGTAGTAGCCCTGTACGGCACTGGAATAGGAAAAAACCGGATCAAACTTGGTTTGGAGGCAAAAATTTGGCCAATAACTATCAAATTTGGACCCTCCGATTCCTTCCTTTTCCGATCCTTAAGTCGTTAGCTCTATCTACGGAGCTGATCGGAGGGCTACTCAAGAATTTTTCTGGCAGCCGAGCACGTTATGCTAGCACGCTCTTAACGCAAAAATTTTATTGCTCTAACTCTAAAAACTCAAAAACTCAATCCCCAAAACAGATTGACAAAATTCAGAAAATTATCGAAATTTTGACCGAAAAATTTTGGTTTTATCCAACTTTCACTGAGTCTTTTCTCACGCGGTTTCTTTAGTTAGGGGGATCGAACTACGTAGCTACTCCCTATATAACAGCTTTTTGCTGTTCGGAAAAGCTCGGATATCCAAAAATTTGGGGGTCTACAGTTTGGTCGAAAATCGATAATTTTCGACAAAATTGGGTGTTTCTTGGGTCTAATTAGGAGATAAGTAATATGTAATAAGGATAATAACCTATTAGTAGTCGTTAATAAACAGTACTATACCCTCCTTTGCACCAAAATACCCGAATTAAGACCCTTAACTCGGAAATTTGTAATCGATGGAGGGTACAATCGGACCGCGCCAATCGTGCCCCCCACCACTTAAATTTTAATGAAATAGTACCCGAATGATACTAAAATTGTTTCAACGATACCCAACAGTCGTTGTGGATGTTGTCCCTGATGTCCCTGTTGAGTGTGTAACACGTTGATCAGCTTGCCACTCTACCCTCCGGTCACCGGCAAAATCACCATTAACGTGCTTAAACACTCAAATTACACTCGAGGGAGGGTATCCAACCCTTCACCAAAACAAACAATCTTTCTATCAGAAACGATATAAATCAATCTGAAACAACAACAAATAGGAAGGTCAGATCACATCTCGTCCGGAAATAACATACAAACTGTCACTTTATGTTTTTTACTGTTTTTGGTCTTTTTTCGGTTTTTTACTGTTTTTTGTACTTTTTTGTTTTCAAATAAATTTATTTTTGGTTTTTTGTTGGTTATACCCTATTTTTGTTTGGTTTTACGCTTTCTCTTTAATTGTTTTTGGTCCTGGGACCTCAGGACAAGCGGGCTCTAGATTTCCCACCTAACCCTCCGGCCCCCGGAATTTTCGGTGTTAACTAAGTTAAAAAGCTAAATAGTACTGGACGGAGGGTACGCACCTTCCCCCCAGTACAATAACGGTCATTAAGGCCTCTAACTTGGGCATACGCCCGGAGCGGAGGGTTCGTCGTTGAAACGCTTGCTGATCATGATGGTCTTATGCCTTTGACAGGCCCACCCAGGAGCGCCATAAAAACGTCTATGTAACATTCGCCCAAATACTACACAGCGACGGAACGTAGAAAAAGTACCTATTAACGACTGGCAGGCGTCAGTTACCTTAATCCTACTCGCTTTTCACCGTCTCGACCTTGCCAGTTGATTTTCTGGTCTGTCTAGGGCAAAGTAAAAAGTTACCATTTTTAGGCCATCAGTCAAACGACTTTTGATCAGCTTTCGTTTACATGCGAACACAACCACATAGCTGAGTCTCGGATCCTCAGACTACGTGATTGTCATTAAAAACACGGCTCGAACAAACTATTTTAATATGTTTTTGTGTGACAGTTCTATATTAAATCCATTGGAGATGGATTGACCCTTTCCTCTTTCTAGCTACTCATATTCTAAAATATCAAATAATACCGGTGTTAATTTAAAGTTTCACGACATCCAAGTAGCTATATAGTTAGTTTTATACAGTCCCTTCACATAAACAGTCTCTGGGGGACCAAGCCTCCGCTCCCGTGTTATTCCAGCGATAACGCTCTTATCTCTTCTAATTTGCGTGCCGGGAGGGTTCCGTGGAATACTCCTTCCCCACTGAAGCTTCCTTCTCTACTAGTATCCGCTGACAAGTGTCTTATCGTGCGTTGTTGCCACGATAAGAGGCTTCGTATTTTCCGTCTCTTGTACGACTGTCTTTCACAATATCTGTCGTTGTTCTGATTTTCTCAGCTTTTCTGGTCAAAATGGCCGTTTTTCGTATTTCTGAGAAATATCAACTGGCAAATCGAAATTTTAAAAACAGAAAATTTCAGAATACTTCGACCCTCCTCTCAAGCACTTTCTTGCTGTTAAGACCTTTTCTCTCTGATTCGTACTTCGTCGGAAGGTTGCGCTGTGCCATCTGGCAGAATGGCACACAGGGAGTATGTGACATTCGACCATTATTGACAAAAAGACAGTCTCGGAGGGTTGGCCGCTAGCCTGGAGAATTGGCAGTTTTAGAGGATTAACAGCATTATTCAGACGATTAGACGAATCGTGAAGACTAGAAGATTCTGGTATTTTAAATGTTTAAAATTTCGAATGATGACGTCAGATTTTCTGAGAAACGTCAGAAACGGCCATTTTGGAAAAAAAATCTAAAATAAAACAGAACAACGATAGAAGTTGCGAAAACAACAACGCCAATAGTTGTGAGAAAAATGACGATAAGAGATAGAAGAATACAACAGAGTATTAGCAGAGACCGCTCCGAGTTGCAACGATTGTGTCGCTACAATCGTTGCAAGGCTATTCACACTAACGGTGAAGGGTGGAAACCAGCCTTCCGGAGAGGAAATAAGGGTGTTATAAGTAAAACATTAGTAATATAAGAAATAGTAATGGCCCTGTTTTTAGGAGTGACCTCGTGGTCTGGGGATACTGAGACCCAGCCATGAGCTCACTATTTTGCATGTAAGTAAGTTAATTTGAGCGTTCTGGTCGAAGCCGGAGAACAGTAACGTTTTTGTCGACCCGATATTGAAAAGACCACCAAAAGAACTGGCTTTGGTAGAGACGATGAAAAGCATGTAGAGCTTTGTTTAGACGCTGGCCAGTCGTTTTATAGCTTAGCTTTATTTTCCGTCGATATGTACTTCCGGGCGAATGTTAACTCTTTTGCAGCATGTAAGAAATTGAAATTTTTTCGACGGGAAAATTGAACCGTCAGATTTTTGTATATCTACTTATGTTTTATCGGCTTAGTTACCTAATTTATGTCACCTAATTTTAAAAAAGGCCTGATTTTAAAGCTTCGTAGTTCAGTTGCAAGATTTCAAAGTATTATAACTTAATTGCTCAAAATGTTTTTAGCTGTGCTTGCACTGTATCGCAGGTGATGCAAAGCTCCGCCTCTGCGTCAAATTTTATTTTTGACTCCTTCGTTTTCAGGAAATGGGTTGAATGTATTAACAAATGGCGGGAGATGTCATTACTGACCCGCTTTACTGGTCAAACAGACGAAAGTTGAGAGAAATAATAAAAAACTACAGCAATCCTAACCAAGAACCAACCTTATATGTCAATGAGAAAGTGTCAGAACCCCACCACACTATTAGTAGGGAGAAAATTTTGCAGCGAGAAAAAGACCATAGAGAATCTAACTTTAAATGGGCTGAATTCTTACAAAAGTACGAACCTAGATTGAAAGACAGTTTCTCACGAATTCGCCAGAAAAGACGATTCATTGATCTAGTTTACCATGGGATTCCAGAACCTTTTCGAATCAAATTTTGGGTCTGTTTGCTTGGAATCAACGATCTCACTAGTAAAGACGCTTCTGACTATGAAAATATAAAAGAGGGAAGCAAACGTTATGCTAGACTTGAAGATGTTTTTCAAATTGATAAGGATGTCCAAAGAACTTTCCGAGATCGCGCGGAATTCAAAAAAGATTTTTCACAGAGACAATGTATGCTTTTCAATGTTCTTATGGCTTACTCTTTCTACAATGAAACGTTAGGCTACTGCCAGGGAATGCATCAATGTGCTGGACTACTGCTGCTTTACGTACCGGACGAAAAAAGTGCCTTTTGGGGTCTTCATCGACTTATGACCAACCCGCGATATGCTCTACATGGAATGTTTCTTGACTGCTTCCCGAAGTACATCAGACTGCGAGACGATTTCGAACGGATTCTTCGAAAGAAAGTAAGATCGATACTTTGGATTCGATATTATGAATTTTCATAAAATGGAAAATTTGAAAATTTTGTTGATCTATTTTTCGAGCTGCTCTGCAAAAGGGCCATAAAACGTCATTTTGACCTTTCAATAAGAGCCTTAACTCCTCATTTTTGGCGGGCAAGAAAATTATGACAATTTTGCTTAAGTTTTTGCACCCCCAAAAATGATGATTGAATTTGTTTGAAAGGTCAAATTTGTTTTAAAGGTCTAAAACTGGTGAAAATTAGTTTTTTGGGACACTTTTTGCGGAGGGGTTACCCAACAAGTGCTTTTTAAGCGAGCGATTACCGCTCAAAATTAGTCTTTATTGGCGCCCAAGAAAAGATATAGGCTTGGTCGGCTCGGCTAAAAACAAATGTCGTATTACCGATGAGACGCTCGTCAGTCTGTCCGCTTCCTCTAAATCCACCCCTGCTTAAAGTTTTTGTTCTTATTCGGACGCCAAGCATAAATTCGTAAAAAAACGAACACTGCTTTTTTTCTAACCCATCTCGCTAGTAAAAGTGCTCATTTGGTGGCATTTTGTTGATTAGTATTGGCAGTTTATATTTAGCATGTTTTCTCCAATTTATTAGTTCGAGGCTTATTGCACTTTATAGAGCTGCTTTTTGTGTTCTCACTAGTGTTTGCCCAGCTTTGCAAATTTTTAAATACGACATATTACAAATAAAGGGCTTTTATGTGATATATCACTCAACTCTCTCTGATGATTATTTGTGGTAGCTGATTTTCTGTGGAAAACAAAAAAAAATAGAACAACCGAATACAAAGTTCCTCCCCATTTTTCAAATGATCGGAACAAAATTCACAAATTAAAATGAACTTGACACGAATTCAGTTTACATAAAACTGGGAGCTTGTTTTTTTCGAGCTTGTTTTTTTCCGCGCGAAATTCGGTGCAACAAAAAGGACGTAGATCATTTTGATCTTTTATCAATCGCAAGTTAGGTCTCGTGGTCTTTTTATATCAAGCCGGAGTTTAGAAAGTCATTTCCGGGGAAGCAGTTCTGTTGGAACCAGTTCCATCGGGACTGCACCAAATCTGTTGTGATGACATGCCTGGTCATCGAAATTTTCTTGAGGATATCTGTATCTTCATTCGCCGTTCGATTCGATTATTTGTTGTTGAAGTAAAAAAAACCAATAAGCTCAATTTTTTTAAGATCTTTTTTGCTCATTTATTTTTAGCTTTAAGGTTTTTCGGGTGAGTTGGTTTCGGCTGATGTTTTATATTTTTAAAATCAGAGGGCGAAAAATGCTCTGAAAATTAGTCATCTTTTTCTTCGGTTTTGTGTCAAATCAACTATCTGTTGGCTATGTCTTAATAGAACTAGGATCAATGCATGTCTAGCTGGCAAGTTTTCAACGGCCATTATTTCTTTTAAAAGTAATAGAAAATTTTTTTTGAAAGATAATTTTTGATTTTTTTTGTTTAAGTTAATTATCATAACTTTGGTTGAATTTTACCGTGATAGTCGAGAAATCAGCTGTAATTGTTTTTTGATCGTTTATCTTTTTGTAATCGGCATAGTAATTATGGCTTACAGAAATTTCTAAGCAAGTTGTCTAAATTAATTTGTCAACGTGGCTGTTTGTAGGTCTAGATTTGGCTTCCATAAGATCTGAGTCTCCGGAACTCAAATATTTTTTTACAGTTTCAAACATTACAGAAACAAACTCTTCAGCCGATCACTTATGTCAGCATGTGCTGCATAAACAATTAGCTGAACTAAATGAATTTTCGGTGGAATTGAAATAGCTGTTATAGGTTAAAGTCTAATTTTATTGGTTGAATAACACAACTTCTTGGTGAAAATATATTCTCATGATTGTTGGGCGAAAATGAATTCTCAGTGGAGTTGAAACAGCTGCTATAGGCATCTGTCATTTTTTTCAGTTTCATTAACGCAAGTTGATCAACGTTCTTGAAAACTGACCAGGATGTTGCTGCATAATGATGTGTCCAACATATTTTCTGTTGAGCTATGTAGATTGCTTCTATTGCTGCAATCTTTTCTTTTGTGAAAGTTAATTCTCGCGGAATTGGAAAGCTATTATAGGGTTCAGTCTATTTATTGGCTGTTTTAACACAAATTCTCGGTGAATATATTTTATAATTTATTGGCGAAAGTAAATTCTCGGCGGAGTTGAAATAGCCACTATAAGTTGCAGTCTAATTTTTTGTTGTATAAACACAACAAATTCTCAATGCATGTATATCCTGATAATTTATTGGCAAAAATGGATTCTCGGAGGAGTTGAATTAGCTGCTATAAGTTTCAGTCTAATTTTTTTGGTTGCATTAACGCAAAAAAATGCTCGCTGAAAATATATCTCCATAAGTTCTCGAAAATAAATTCACGAGTTTCACGACGAAATAGCTGCTATATTTTTCAATCGATCTGGTTGCAGTAACACAAGCTGATCAAAGTTGTTAAAGAGAATTGCTCAGATTGATGCGGTATTATTCCAAATAGCTGATACTTAAACTTTATACTAAGACTTTATTTTTGGAGCTTTGACAATGTTTTATGACTTCGGGCTGAATCATTTTTCTTGTAAGTAATGCACCTGAAAGCCATTTCATTTGAAGTATTGTGGCGGAGGAACGTTTCCACTTTGTCCAAGAAAGGTCTCTGCTTCGAATCTTTTGTGTACTTTTTTTGGCAAAGCATGTCAATTTTTATGCCTTACGGTTTTAAAGCTCGTTTTAACACAAGCATAGCTTGTGTTATAGTATGAACTTTCTTTTTTTCCAACCTAAGTCGCAAATATTGTTGCGATGCAATGGGTGCGACAAAATGAGTTCATTTTGAAGTTGTTCATTTTGATCCAGCTATTAGGTACAGCGAATGCTATGGATATTACCACAGACTATTATATTACAAATAGCACTTTAGCTTCAAGGTATCATGGTTCTGTAGCGTAGAGGTAGTGAAGGAGACCAGCAGCAAAATAAGAGGGTTCAAATCTGGGCAGGGTCGGATGTTTTAATGAACTTTTTCGTATACTAGTTAAAATTCGTCAGCTTTAGAAATTGAGGCATGTTAGTTTGTAATTTGGGCTCTTTTTCAGTTCCCCCCTTTCAAAATACCGAGTTTTATGTTTGTTTTACGTGTTATTACGGCTAAATGCGTGATGTTAGGCTGTAAAATATGAAGAAGAAATTTGTTCACAATGGTCGATTTGTTCACGACGCCAAATTTCATTGCAATATGACAAAGTTAAATAAGCTTTTCATAATTGAATTTGAAAGGGGGGGGGGGGACTGGAAAAGAGCCGTTATTTTTTTTCAAATTGACTGGTACTGCTAATGCATCATAATTGGCTTGCGTCACTTAGCAATTATGTAGACTCATAATTGGCGTGCGTCACTTAAGAAATTTTGTAGACTCAAAGTTTTACTCAACCATTTTTTTCCAGTAGCGTTATCGGTCATATTTTTGCTTGTGTATGCGAAGTGCAACTTCGCCTCTGTATAAAGCTTTGGCTGATGTTTTTTCAAAGGCTTCCCCTTCGTATATGAAATGATCAGACCTGTATTTTTTGTAACCATTTTCGATTTGTTTTTGGCTGTCAGCGTCTTGACGATTTTTTTCTCCAAATATAGTACGGGCTGTATTTTGCGCTCACAACCAATTTTTGAAGTACTTTTTTAAAAAAAAGTTTTAATGTTATTTTAGAAAATCTTGTTTCGAAGTTCCGATTGAAATTTTTCGCATGTTTTTCATATAGTCGTTGATTTTATCGGATAACCTTCAATTATCATTATTTGGCAATTTTGGGCTTTGTGGTTGGTTTCAAACTTATTGAAAAATTTGAATTAGGTCTTGGATTTAAATTTTTTACGGTTTTCCTCAATATTTATTCCACGTTATTTGCTCCACTCCAGTTTTTTGATGTTTGAACTATCGAATCCTGTCTTTTTTCCTTATCAACGGATGAAAATCACTGGCCATAATTTTCAACCAGCTTTTTTCTGCCGAAAATTAACCTACCACATCATTGTCAATATATAGAGATTAGTTTTAAAAACTAATTGATAAAGCAGAGTGCAACTTAAATGCTTGTCAATACAGAACCATGCAATTTAAGTCAAGCAATTGAAGAAGTTTCGGTGCCCAAGATGATATTTCTACTCTTTTTCTGGGCTTAGATCGTGAAAGAAGTTTTCGTCAACGAAGAAGTTTGTGTTCATTCAAAACCAATTGATAACACCCACTATAGAAATCGCGGACTCCCATTTTGTTTTTTCCTGTACTCATAATATTCAGTTAATTGGCCCATTCTTAGTAGTTAGAAGCAGAAGCAAGTAATGATACAATTGATAGCTACATCCATTCCAACTTATCCTGTTTGATGCAGCCTCATTTCAGAATGTTCGTGTCATACAAACAAACACGACAATCGCTTAAAATATAAGTACAATAGCAACTGTTTATTGTGAACGTAAATTCATAATTGTTTATTCTGAAACTGGTGAAGAATTTAGTTGGCCGCAGTTTCATGAATTGTCAGTGAATCAAATCTAAGACTATTTGCATGCAAATTAAGTTAATCAATGTAGATATTGACCTCAAATTCGGACTAGTGAAATATCGGTAATTATTGTGAAAAACCAAAATGATTCTTCTCATGACAGACTTTTCTGTAGTTTAAAAACAGTTATTGAGTTGGAACCAATAACATTCCAAGGAATATAGACTTCAAGTTTTTATTAATTGCATTTGCTTTCAAAAATTTGTTTGTTGGCAACTTTTGAAAAATCTAGTGTGAATTTCAGTTTTCTGAAATTTTCTATTTTAAAATCTGTCAAAAATATAAGGAGTTTTTCTCTCGTGGGATTTGATGTGAGCTGATTTGTCTTGCATTATTGCTTGGATCTACCAGCCCTGTGTTCCTTTAAGATATTGATCTTATTTAAGCGATTTAGGTTTGATGCTCGTCAGTATCCTGTGAATGGCCTTAAACATAGTGTTCATGTTGTTGTTTGTAGCTGCAAAAGGAGGGGTCGTCCACATCGTGTCTTATTGTCGTTTATTTTCAGTACGCCACAATCGAAGATTGTGGAGATTGATTAATTGTTTTTTTCTCGTCCGTCAAGCTGTAACTCTGGCTTTCCCAGGGTTCGCTAAGAGCGGGAAGGCCCCCTTCTGACAGTACTGAGTAAAACCCCTGTCTAGGGACAGTTTTTGGTACATGGAACCGATTAAAGCTCACGTGTCAGGTTTCAGCGGGAAGTTTTACTTAGTGCGGAGAAAAGAGAAAAACTCCTAATGTGCTCGTTATGTTGGTAAGTTGAGCCATTTGCGACCGCAACAAGGTTGTCCCACGGGTCGTCAAGTCTTAGAGATGTTGGCTTCGATGGACAGTGAAAGAGGTGATGTATGGCATGCGGACTAGCGTTACAGTTTGGGCAGTTTTTTTCCCAGAAGTTCACGATGTTTGGTTGCTCAACTCCGCTGTGGATATAGCATGCAATTTAATAGCTATCTGTTGATATTGGACAAAAACATCGAAAAAAAACTGCCCAAACTGTAATAGTGTGTTTTTGAATCTTCAACTGTCTGTTGGCTATGTTACAAGTTTTAACTTCGTCTGACATAATCACTGAATTGTTACGTCAACTGTCGTCACTTCTGTTTTTTTTTTCGTTAACTAACGGAATTTTTTCGAGCGGATATGAAATGTTCTCATGGATGCCAACATAGGTAACCATTGTATGAAATGAAAAAGCAATGCTTCGCGCAACAAGTTTAACTTATTTTTTTTTGTGTTTGTCTCATTTTGGGTTGGGTTGCTAGTAGGGGACCGGCGTCTTCTCCATTGAAACGATTTGTCGAACATATTCACTCAAAAGTTATCTCAAATCTGTTTTTTTTGTCAGCCGACAGGCATATTTTGAGCACTTCTCCATTTTGAATACGCATTATATTTGAAAACTATTATTTTGGTCGAATAAAAGTTTTTGGTCGAATTTAGTTTATTTTTCTGTCTTCGCTGTTCTTATGAAACTGGCGAAGAATCTAGGTGACTGGAGTTTTATGAATTGTCAGTGAATCAAATATAAGACTATTTGCATGAAAATTAAGTTAATGAATGTAGACATTTCAAGTTTCTATGAACATTGCGAAGACACTTTTAAGGTCCTGTTGAATTCTGGCTATTTTTCCAGAAAAAAGTTTTTAATTTGATTAAATTTGGTTTTTCGAGGTTTGATGTTTTTTTATTTCGGTTAACTCAAACTTGTTTGCCAAAAGTAACACAAATTACGCTCTCCATTTGCGAATGTGCAGATATTGCCAGAAATATCAATTACTTCTTGTTGCAAAAGGATTTTTATTTGATTGGTGTCTTAGAGAAATAAAAAGATCAAGTTTACCGTGATATGTTATTTTTCTCCCAAATTCGAATTTTTCAAAACGTTTGAAAGTGAGGCAGTCATTTTTTTTGGTTTCATTGACCCTTTTCTACGGTTTGTTGGCTGTGTTATCTTTTTCGATTTAAAAGGTTTTGATATATTTTATATCGGCTTAATGGCCAAATATTGCGTCGTTTGATAGGAAAACAAAGTTATTTTACGAGTGCTTAGTATTTGGTGCTTTTTATGAAATCAAATATTGTGTAGCTGTCATAAGGAGTCGATGAACGTAGAGAAGACTCCTATATAGTTCGTGATATTTTACGATGCTCATTCAACTATCCATCTTTTAACTAGACATATGTTTCACAAAATAAACTGTAAAGACAATAGTTCGAGACAAATGTGAAAAGTTTGGTAGATCTAGTTTTGTTGACTTTTTATTTGTTTTTTTTTGCAAAAAGTCAAAATTTAACCACGCTCAAATTTGACTTTGTCTCGGTTTGCTTGTGCGTGTACCTCTGGCTATGTTGAAGTTTTGATTTTAAATATTTAACACCTGCAAAGGCCGTAAGAAGGAGTAATTTAAGAATCAAGGAGCAATCATGATTCAGCCTCATGATTTTTGGTAGTTTTCAAAAGTGTTATAACTTATTCATGTTTTTATTTTTTTCCCGGTTTGACTTTTGAAAGTTCGTTACTTTTCCGTTGTTTCCACTAGCGAGCAGCTTAGTGTATTAGTTTGAACATTCTGTTTTTCTAATCTAACTCACAAATGAAAGTGTTCATTAAAAATCCTCACTTATTTGGTGGAACTTTGCCAAATCACGATCTGTAGCATTTGATTTTTCATAGCATCTCATCTGTTCTCTGCTTTATTTGCGGCTACTAAACGTTTGTGATGTATTAAGCGTTTTTGGCTGATTGGCTAGTGCGTGAGAGTGATTATCTCGCAATAGGTTAGAAATTGAATCCGAGACGTAGCCGAATTTTTACTAATTCAAGGCTTATTATTTTTTATTGCACTTTCTAGAGCTGCTCTTTGTCGTGTCCTCGCTAGATTCGCCTATGTGTAAAAGGAAGGTGTTGATGATCATCAACTTCTGCCGCCAGTATGATTTCTAGTATGATTTCAACATAAACACGGTAAAATTATTATCCCAAATATTTGTTATGCCTGATTTACTATTGACTTCGACTCAGCCTGACCAAGATGAAATTTGAAGCTCTGAAATTTTGATATATTGATTGACCAATATCAACATCAAACAGGAAGCTGACAACAAAGGCAGACAACGAAAATTCTTTCCTTTTCTCGACAACGTTATTTTTCGCGCGCGAGGATGACTATGTTGCTACATTACCAGACGGAACAAACATCCAATAATCCTGAACGCAAAGGAAAATGCTGTGCGCTTGATGATCGAGAGCCCCCATTGCCGTTGCATGCATCACCCTACTGAGTACGTTCGCAACTTCGTGGCACAAAGCTTTGTCAACATTTGGCGCTACTCTGACAGAAAGATACTCTGACAGATAAGACATAATTGCCTTTGCCAGAGGTTCCAAGGCAGAGGGTTATATCCACTCATGGCTGATTTGCCTCCAACTTGTAACGACGATCCAACTGATAATGCATTTCCGTTCAAAAACACAGAGATTGATAACTGGGTTTTTTTACATTGCTACAAAAGATGCAACAGAAAAGAGCTATTTTTGCCTCTTTGCCTGGCACTTTACTCGCCCGGTGCACCTGGAATCGACAGCGAGTCTCTCTAAAAATGACTGCAAAACGGCACTTCGACGCTTCATTGCTAGAAGAGGCGCACCTAAGCTATTTAACTCCGACAACGCCACTGTTAACTTCTTCTGTAGAGGCTACTTCGTCGGCTCCTGTGAACAACTACGCTCAAAACCAATCAAATTCATTGAAACCACGCTAAGTGAAACGCTACAAGTCCATAATTTTGAATGGTGCCTAAAACCACTGTCTGCTCTTCACTTTGGCGGCGTGTGGCAGCGACTCGTTTCAATGATAAAAACGAGCGTTCTTTCTAAATCTCGGTTCTGATCGACTATCAGGAGATCTATTTGCTACTATTGTAGCAAAGACTGAGACAATTACCAACTCTCGTCCGCTTGCGCATGTCAGCATTGACATTGACAACGAGCTTCGACCGACAACCAACCACTTCCCAATGGGACGTCCATTTGGCTACGCTCCAGCAGCTGTAGCCAAATGGAAGCCAGCAACAAAAAGTCCAAATGGAAGCCAGCAACAAAAAAACTGACAGTTTCTGGAGGCGTCTACTTAAAGAGTACGTCCCAAAAGTCATTAAAATGGGGCAAAATTGACGGAAGCCGTGAAGTCACTCGAAAAAGATGACGTGTGGCTACTTGGGGGCTTTACAAGTTCAGCGGTGAATTTTGCCCTCGTATCCAAAAAAGGAGATTAAACTACTACTTCAATTGAATTCCCACCAAAAATGGGCTATTTAAGCCTACTTTGAAATGCGTGATTTACTATTGACTTTGACTCAGCCAGACCAAGTTGAAAATTAAAGCTCTGAAATCTTGAGATGTTGATTGACCAAGCTCGACATCAATCGAAGGCAAACTTCACTATCGAACAGCAAAAGCTTAAAGGTCATGAAAAACATGATCGACTTGTGTTTTCGATAGTGGAATTTGTTTTTAAGATTTTCCAGCGAAATAGATGCTTTTATTTTTGATCCAGTTTTCTCAAATTGGGCTAATTTTATCAAATGCCAATCAGAATTTGTTCTAATAATTCAAAAAGCACTTATTTTTTTCTTAGAAATTCGATAATTGAGATGTTTGCAAAAAACTAGTCTGTATTTTTTCTGTTTACTTGCGTTAATTGGCACTTTTCCTACTGTCTGCTGGCTGTGTTTTTGGATGGTGAAAAGTTCAATCAATCAGCATGGCCCTTGGTTGGCTGAAACCACTATACCCATGTTTTCATTACTGCCGATACGCCAAATTTAATCGATAATTTCATTGATTGGTTTTTGTTTCAGAACAAAAGTCTCTACAACCACCTCATGGAGTGCCAAACGGTGACTGACACATACCTGATGTTGTGGTACTTCACAGTGTTCCAGGCAGACTTCCCCCTCTCTTTGTCCCTTCGAATATGGGACATCTTCCTCCTAGAGGGAGACATCATATTCCTACCCATGGCCTACACTCTCATCACGTATAAGGAAAAAGAGCTGAAAAAAGAGGAGTGCCCTAAATTGTATATAACCAACTTCAAACACACGTTGCAATATGAGGAAACGAGCATCATAGAAGTGTTCAAACGGAACTTCAGGTCAGTCATGAACTTGTGAATTAATTAGTTGAGGGAGTTTATCGGTGTAAGAAATGACTATTTGCGGAGTATAGATGTAATTTGGTAAAATAAGATGAAAAAGTATGGTATGTTAGTTTTATATTTAAGCCTAAAAATCTCCGTCTTTTGGTACTGTGTTACAAAAGTTATTGTATTTTTCTAATAAGCATTTTCTTGTTGCGAATTTTAGTCAAACGATGTTTCAAAACCTCAGATATACTAGTCCGAGAATACATTGTTTTTGGTAAAATGTTGACGAAAAAAGTTCTTCAAAATTTCGATAACTGGCTAGCTTGGTGAAATCTTGTGGTTGAATACCTTGAAAAAGTAATATTTGATTTCAATTTGATTGAGCTATCAACAAATAACTGCAAATTGAGCAGCTACGTGGGAATTATTTTCCTATTTCAAATTAATTGATGTAGGGGATGCAATAAACACTAGTCTATTCAGATCAATGCTGCACTCCTCCAAACATCCTCTGAATGCAGAATCACCGGAAGGCGAAGTGCCTAAAGAGTTCGGAACTCAATTGAACAGACAAGATCTGAAATCGAACGGATTTGACGACGAAGAAGTCGCGATAACCGAAGAGACTAAGAAAAAAGAGAACGAAGAACTCATCATGAGAGCCTCAATGGCCACAGGTTTCGAAAGAAATGCAAATCAAAGACTTAGTTTTGTGCCATACTCGCCGGAATCGACACCGCCTGTGAGACCAGGTGTCCAAGTTTCTCCAACTGCCAGGAATCGAATCCCGTTAACGGAGCTGAGAAATGAGGAAAAGTCTAGTTTCGGAAGTGATTCGGCAATTCCAAATAGTCCTAATATCGGTGAAAACAATGTTTTCAGTGGTAGGATTGGCACCAGTCCTGTGCCAGCAAGTGACTGTACGGATAGTAAAACTGTTACCGATGCACCTGCTGAAAAAGAAGTTGTTATAAAGGAAACAGAATTTAATGTAACAATAAGCGAGTTTGCTAATCGAGAACAGAAAACAACTGAAAGTCCTGATCAAGAACAGAAAACGATACTTGATAGCACAAGTCATTCAGAAACGTCTAAATTGCATACTGATTCAGCTACGAAACCGAAGCGAGTTGCATCAGACCGAAGAAGTTCAGGCGCAGGGGACGCCGCTTCTGAGAGACGAATCAAGTCGGGTAGATTGTTCAGTCAGAATTCACCTTCGGCGACCCGAGGCGCAATTGCACAACTTCCTTCGCTTTTGAACAAAGACAGACGATCGCCTAGCGCTTCCTTAAAACAAGGCTCCAGAAACAGCTCTCAGAACTCAAAATGTAAGTTCATGCTTAAACAAGAGAAGGCCGTTACTGTACATCTACAATAATCTATATAGAATATAATAATTAATAATATTAATTAGCCTTGCGATAGCAAGGGTATTACAATCGTGTGCGAGACTTTTTACCCGTTATAACTTTAGGAACAGAACTGTCAAAATTAAAAATGGTAAATTTAGGTTCAGTTCTTAATTAATTCTAATTTCTTTGTGTCTCCGACACACTTGGTCTGGAGGTAACGTAACGAATACGCCTGGGACGACAAAGGTCCTGGGTTCGAATCTGACAGAACCGGTTTTTTCCTACTGGTTTCGGCCTATTTATTTTTCGGCTTAATGACCTAGTTTCGATTCGTTTCAAGGAAAACAAAATTTTTATGCTCACTTCTGGATCGCTCAAATTTCTGAAAATCTTAATAGAAATTCTAGGTCAAGTTTTTCATGACAACAATTTTTTTTGGCTTTTTGGTTTTTTCTTTTCCTTTTTTCCGCTTGATAGGTTTTGACCTATATCATATCGGTTTAATGGTCATGTTGCGTCTTCTGACGAGTAGTAAAAAATTGCGTGTGCGTGTCTGTGTTTTGAGGGTGAAGCGGACTTATTAACTTAAGTCTTGTAAATTTTTTTTCGGCTTAAAGGGTTTCTGCCAAGGTATTTTTCGGCTTCGTTACCGTTTGGTAAATTTTCTTTTGATGCTTTTTTCGCATTCCATTATCTTGGCATGTTTTTTTTTCATATGAAAATTAGCCCTCTTTTTTTTTGATAAATGTAGTTTTTTTTTTGGACATTTTCGAATTTTTTTGTTTTTTTTTCTGACTTAGCGGCTTTCTTGTTTTGTATCGCAAGTGGTGCGAAGCTCAACTTCGCCGCTGAGTAAAAAATAATGAAAATATAAAATCAATGTTTCTAACGCGGCATTGGCGTGAGTTAGTGCTCGCCGCTTAATATATTTCGCACTTATTTAAACTGTTTAACTCGGTTTGGCTGACTTGTCTTCGTTTTTTTTTCTAAATGCGGGCTGCAAACTAGAAGAAAAGAAGAAAAAATTTTTTCTCGTTGTTACTCGTGTTTAGATAATAAATCACGAACAAAGAGAGGGCATATAACAAATTCTAAGGGTTGCAAATTGCTGTCCTAAATCTATTATACATTTAAATGCGGGCGTCACTATCTCGCCATGTTTAAGCTTTTTCAACGTTTTATTTTTGCATGTTTAACAAAAGAATTTTTTTCACGTTTAAGCTATATGGTATATTGCAATGGTTAAGATTTTTTTCAATTTTCCTGTTTGAAAACTTCACCAAAGTTGAAAGTTGCAGCCCAATAGTGAGATGATGTCAGGGTTTCCCCGCATGTTGCGATCTCGGCCTCCATATATCAATAAGCAATTCTTTTAGGGTACGAGATACAGCAATTTTCGAAATTCGCAACCCTGTAGTCTTCAGGGTAGTCTCAACGGTTGCGAATCTTGCCTCCAAATCTTACTTCTCAAATCCTTGTAGTTTTCGAGATATGACGTTTTTTTTACTGATTTTTTCAAAAAAACTTAAGATGTAAAATAAATCTCAATCCTGTAGTTGGAAACGGCGAAAGTACTCTCCGGAGTTGTGAATTTTGCCCCTGAATATGACTGCTCAAATCCTTGTAGTTTTCGAGATTTGATGTTTTTTAGGATTTTTTCAAGATTTAAAAAAGAACTTACATATAAATAATTTCACAAAATTTGAAGATGCCACCCCTATAGAGAGGCTCTTTCAGGGTACTCCCTAGAGTAGTGATATTTGTCTTCAGTTATGACTGCTCAAATACTTGTAGTTTTTGAGATATGAAGTTTTTTGTGATTTTTTTTCAGAAAGTTTTCAGAAAACTTAAATTTAATTTAATTTCTTCTAAATTTGAATTTCCCAACCGTTTAGTTTGGGGCTGTCAGAGTGGTCTCAAGGTCTCAGGTGTTGCGAATCTTGCTTCCAACTGTGACTGCTCAAGTCTTTGTAGTTTTCCAGAAATGACGTTTTTTGTTATTTTTTCAAAAAATTTTCAGAAGTTTAAATTTATTTTTTTCTTCAAATTTTGAAATTCATAACCCCCTGTAGTTAGGGGCTGTCAGAGGACTCTCATGGATTGCGAGAGATCTTGCTTCCAATTGTGGCGGCTCAAATCTTGCCTTGAGTTGTTTTCGAGATACGACGTTTTTTTTTCTGGTTTTTTTTTTTTCAAAAAAGTTCTTAGAAAACTTAATTTTAAGTTTCCCAAATTGAAATTTCCAACGCTGTAGTTTGGTACTGTAAGAGATCTCTCAGGAGATGCAAATCTTGAGTCCAAAAACGACTGCCTAATTAGTTTTAGATTCCTATAAGTGATTTTTCTTAATTTTTCAAAGATTTTAAAGTTTTTCAAAGAACTTGGATATAAAAAACTTAATGGGTTTTAAAAATTTGAATCGAAAAAACTTAAATAGAATTTTTTTTCAAAATTTGAAATAACCAACCTTGTAATTCGGTGCTGTCAGAGTACACTCAAAGGATGCTGATGTTTTTCCAATATTTACGGTTTTTTATGAGTTGTTAAAAATTCGAAGCACCGGAGGTGCGGTACACGCAAGTTCGTATGAAGTCACGAAATTTTGACCTAATTTCAAAAGGCGAATTCAATTTCCGAATTTCAGGCGGAATATAGAAGTGACTTAATGATCTAGTTTTTGCAACCTGAGTTTACGTTTACAGCAAAAGTATAAGTAAAAAAAGTTGAAATTCGAGAGCTTCAAGGTCATAATTTTTTTTTATTCAAAGTTGAAAATTTGCTTGAAAAACATTCTTTTTTTGTGCTCCTTCAGTCAAATGACACTTTTCCATTTGCCTGTTTGGCCATGCTTAGATTCGGAGCGAGGGCGTGACGAATTAGACGGTGGACTGACCAGCAATGATGAATCCTTAGGAGGAGGAAGTCTCACGTTCGACTCCAGTACACGACATTCACCTCTCAGTCCTTCCTCCCTCCACCCCGAATCACCCATCAGTCCCTCGAGCATAGAGGGCGGAACACTGCCTCCATCGGGAAGAAACCAGTACAATCACATGTCCAAACGCAACGCAAGCAGTACTGGATACCTCTCAAATAACTCGGGTGTGGGTGTGGCAACTAACTCCAATTCACCGAACAGTTCGGCTGAGCTGGTCGCTGGTGAAGCCTCCCAACAGTATATCTCACCTCCCAGAAGGGGTTTTCTCTATGGCACCAAGAACTCAGCAAGGTCGGCAAGAGGGCCGAACCGGAGTTCTCTATCTCCCATAGCGTTACCAGATACGACTTCACTTAGCAACAGGTACAGCATCAGGAACCCTAATTTTTACGCCGAGGGATATTATAACTCTAGCATGACGGGATCTGTAGGTTCCTCGGGTAGATATTCAACTCGCCGCGATCCACGGAATACGAACTTTCAGTCCCCAATGAATAATATCGGACGGTCTTTTTTGTACACTCAAGGCGTGGCGGAGAAACTGGACGTACCCCGGAATCGAACCATGTCGAATCGTAACAGTTGGGGTTCGGATATAAATTACAAACCGGCTACGACTCAGAGCGAAAGAGGAAGAGCACGAGTAAGTATGAATCGTAAGAGTCAAGATTTGCCACCAAATATCAGTCGGTTCTCGGAAGCACAGCATGACAGATATCTAAACGTGTTTCAAGGAGGGCAGAAATTAGAAACAGAGTTTTCAGTTAACAACAACGGAAATACTCGTAAAATCAGCTCACCTTCTAGACTATCAGCCGCATTTAGGACTTCTTTCATCGAAAAGAGATCCTCTGCGAATGCCGAAAGCACAAACGGCAAAATAGCAGAAAATGGGTCTGGAGATCAGAAAAGCAAAAAAAGCTGGAAAAAGCAAAGTTCAAAGTCGGAAAAGTCATCAGTTGATAAAAGCAAACCGCACCAAAAAAGTGCGGACGAGGAGGTCTCAGCTCCTATGTTAGGCAAGACAAAAAGAGTGACAACCCAAATGTGATTAACTGTTTTTTTTTGTGGTGATTGAATGATTTCTGTGGGTTTTGAGGAGTAATTGTTTAAAATACGAGTAGTGTTAGTTATAATTTGAAACATGATTTTAGCGAAACATAAATGATCTTATCCGATTGGGAATATAAACAACGCCTCCATTGCAATAGTTGCTTCACACCTGGATTTTATATCCCACGTTATTTTCTATGCAAATCGTTATAATGTTTTCAAGCTTAACACAATTCAAATTAGAAATTTAACCCTTTGTTTTCAAAATGCCTCATTTTTGCATACCGGTCCGAAATATTCTCCGAGAATCTGAAAAGTTTGGAAACACAATGGTTAGCAAGTTTTCGCATACACAACTGAAGATCACAGATCAGATATCTATATCAATACCAAATCCTTCTTGGTTATATTATAAATCACATGTTCCATCCTTCATGGTAAAATACTATTGGCCAGATATCAATTTCTCCTTGTTTCTTATTAATAGCTTCAAAAGGTAAAGCTAATTTCCAAGCCGAAAAGAAATTTTCAATGTTGCCCAAAACACGGCTGAAAAGACTGTAGTCCTAATGGAAAATTTGTCGGCGTTTTGTTCAAATAACATTTTTGAAGTATGAATGTTTCAGGTTTATGAATTGTATCAATAATTATATTTAACCTATGCTGTGTTCTTCTTCAAAAGAAGTCTAGTTTTGCGTCTAGTCAAACTAAGTGAAAAGGAACTCTCGTCGTGGGAAAGTCTGTGGTGGAACTCTTGAGGAGCTGCAGAAGTTGACAGGATGTCGACTTACCACCTTAGAGGACAATCAGCCAACATGGAATGCATGGTCATCTTCCTTGACAGCTCCTCGTGTATGTTCGAGATCCACGCTCAGAGTCCGGGATCCGCTCTTTACGACAAAGTGATCAACCACTTAGAAGCTAGACATGCTCCTCTGAGAATCAAACGGGAGTTGTTCGGACTCCAATACAAAGACACAGACGAAGCGACTAAATGGTTAGACTTGAACTGCAAGTTGAGAAAACAACTTGGAGGCGGCAATACAGAACCCATATTGGAATTCAGAGTTCACTTTTTTGTGTCCTCGGGACTTATAGAGACTCTAGACGACTGCAGCTTGAAGATGTATTTTCTCCAGCTCAGAACAATGTTACAGCAGGGAGTGTTGAAGCCTCGAACTCACGATGCGGCAGTAATAGGAGCACTGGTAGCTCAGATCGAAATAGGGGATTATAAGGAGTATTTCAATGATTACGAACAAGGCGCGGAGTATCTTCATCAGATTATAATCTACCCGGAGCAAGAACGCAAACCGGACTTGCTAAACAGAATATCTGAAGAACACAAGAAGCTCAAAGGTTGGAACTTCAATTTATTGAACCAATATTTAATAAACTTCGTCGCAGTAATAGAAAGTTGAACATTCATTTTCTTCCTAAATGTTATATGGGTAACGTCTATGCTCGTTATTTGAAAAAAAAGTGAAGCGTGAAAGTGCAACGCACTAAGGAGAACTTTTTTAAACGATTGCTCAGACTCGATAATAACACGCTCAAAAAGAAATTAAATTAACATGTCTTATCTCTGGGAAACTAAAAAACGACACTTGAGACTAGAATGTTATCAAGTCGCTACAGTATCAAATCGTTGCTTAACCCAGTGAGAGAGAGGCATTGTTTTGTTCTTTGAGCGGGCTGAGGCCAAACCTGAAAGTTAAGTACTCGAAGATGACTTAGCATCAAGAACTTACCTTGCAAATTGTAGTGAATTATTGAAGTCATATCTCGTTTATATTTAGGATACCATACGCAGTCCGCGATTCGGCTGTTGGTGGAGAATGTGTCTCGTGTGGAGAGGTACGGGATCGAGATCCACTGTGCCAAGTCCATAATCAACCCCACCTCAGGTTAATCATGCATAATTTATTCAGATGCTTACGGTTGAGATAGACTGTTGGATCTAAGGTTCTCGAGAGGAGCTATTTCAATAAGGATCTACTTGGAAATCTTCCATTCGAATTTTTCTTAAAGTGAACTTAACCTACCATTTTTGATATAATTTGAAAGTTACTCGTACGTTATGAAAAACTGTAAAATATAGATTATTAAGGGTATATCAAAGACCATTACGACAATGAAAGAGGATAATCACTATTAATACAAGATTTCCAATTATTAAATAAAATCTAAGTTGTAATTAATAATTCTATATCAAAGTAATAATAATAATATTTAACATACTTGTAGAGAATTAAACTTTTCGTTTAATTTCGGAAAGTTTCGTTTAATTTTTGTTTCTTTTTCAGTTTTGGACACTTTCGAACGTCCGGATACCCTGGTAGAGATAGGAGTATCGAGCGAGGGTATCTGCGTTTTCAAGAATGGAATCAAAGACGACCAGGATCTGGCATGGAAACACATCGACAAGATCCAGTGCAATAGCAAACAGTTCATTCTCATCATACAAGCAGACAATAATCCAGACGAATACTTCAAGGTCAACTTCACCTTCAGCTCAAGTTAGCACTGCTATATTCAAGTACAACTCGTAGTTTTGTCAATTTTCTTTTTATTAGATCCTACCCATCTAAAGTTGCTTTCAGGTGCAAGAATAGATAAATAATAGAAGTAATTTTGTGCCGCACTAATTAAAAATTTGCCGTTTTTTTAGATGAAGTTGACGGCATATTTTTCAATAAAATTATTATGGACAAAAACATTTGTCCACTATCCGCAGAAGTAACGATGTATTGATGGCCAAGCAGCGTTAAAATGTCAATTTTTTCTACAGTTCTCACATCAAGATTCAGCGAAAAGCAAACAATTGAAATGACAAGTGTAGTGTTCGCAATGTGTAATTTAGTGATTGTGTGTTTAGGTAAGAATTGCAAGGCCTGTTTTCTGTCCTGCCAAGCCCACCACCAGTTCTTCCAGAGTCAGTTGTCCATCGAGCCCAGCACCTCCTCCGCTTACGCACACACCAACACTGAGTTCCTCTGCAGATCCACCACCACGTCCATCCTCAAAGGTAAGTCTCATAGCTACTAAGAAACATGCTGGCTCTTTTCAATGTTTTACCCATTTTCCGACTACCCAAAGTGGTTTCCCATTTTTGAATGCGTGGTTCGCTTACAATCAGAAGTAAAAAGATGATCTCACACTTAAGAGTCACTTAAAATCAGTTCACGGCAAAATAGGAACATTGTTAACTGCTAGTAGCCCTGATTTGTAATTTTTTTATCTGAAAAACATTGATGATAGTTTATCAAATTTGAATTCGAGTCAGCTTTTTTTTGTTCCGATCACTTTTTGCGACGAATTTTGACTACCTTTAGAGAAACTTGTAGGAGGGTCAAGTGTGGTACCATTCATATATGTATTACTTCGCCTAATTCAATGAATTTTCCAGAGAAAAAAAATAACAAAAACTTTGGACCAAAAAAATTGATTCAAATTTTTTATCCTCATTTTGAATTCTTTTGCTAAATCAGTGTGGTCGAATTTTTCTTTTGCTTTATGCGCAGCAGCCTATTATTCTTGTTATGTCGTTTAAGAAAATTCGAAAATTCAGAATGATTTTGTGATTTTTTTTATCTGCTGAGCAAAATTGCGCATCTCTATCATAGTTAAAAATAGTTAAGTTTTCCTTTTCTCCTTCTGGTTCACTTCTGCCTGTTTAAGGGAGGCTGAAAATTGGTTCTTCTACCACCAATCGCTCTAAGCCACGCAGACCGAAGAGGTATCTACAGAACAACACGTCTCAAGAGCCATCCACGGCCACTAACAGTATGTTCGGAGGATCTTCCTTCTCAGAAACGACATCTAACAGAACATCAACAGGTGGGTATTTAGTCTGGATTCGGATTTTAAGCCCTTGTCAGGGGTCAATGAAGGTAGTGAAAACTCTGTAAAATCATGATGATTTTTTGCTTAAGGAAAAACTAATTTATTCACGCTCACATTTGATGTTTCGAGGTTTAACTTTTTTTCGTTTTAAGTTCAGCTCATTTCCTTTGTTACATGGAAGGCAAACTCCACTATAGAACAGCGAAAGAGTAAAGGCGCCGAAAAGCGTAATCGACTTCTAATTTCGAAAATGGTTACTAATTTTCATGTTTCTTTTTTCAAATTGGGTTGGTTTTTATCAAAAAGGGTATCGAAATTCCATAAAAACGTCGTAAATTGTTTTTGAAACTATTGTTTTGAAAGATCTAAAAGTTTAAGTTTTCTCAAAAGAAATTGGTTATTCTCAAAAGAAATTTATAATCAGCTTAATTTTTTTTCGGCCTGATTTTGGGTCGTTGAAAGAAAAACACATTTTTAACACTCCCATCAACACTTCAATTGGTTGTATGTTTACCAATCGATTTGTTGAAATTTCCTTTTTTTTTTCATTTTAGATTTTTTTCAATTTTTTGAAAATTTTTAGTTTTCCCCTGGTTTTCAAAACACTATTACGAATGGAAAGACCGCCGACTCCCTGTGGGCCTACATACTCATCTAGTCTCTATTACCACACCCCACTTTCTACAGCCTTCTTATTTTTTATTTGTTTTTCGACCTATATTTTTGATTTTTTTTCGTCTTCCGAAAAGTACACCTCAAATACGAGTTTTTGGTTTCGATGAACAGAATGGTTTTTCTGAAACTCCCTGCATAAGAGCTACGCCCTAGTTTTTTACACTAAGTTATGGACCTCGGAATAGTCAAACTTTTTATTCTTTCACCGTTTTTTGAATGTTTTTGGCTTTTCTCGAAAACTAAGCTCTCGAATTTTATATTGTACGTTCAAAGGTAACAACAGTTAGTGAGAAGTTTCGCTGCTGCATTAGCGGCCACTCACAGAGTTTTTTTAGATAAAAAGCTATGACGCTTGGAAAAAACTTTTTGATTTTTGACCAAGTTTTGAACTTTTTGAATATTCTCGAAAACTGCCTGGCTGTATCTGAGGTTTTGGGTTCATTTCATAGAACGGGTAGCGGGAAGCTTATTTAATTATACGACTACGCCAAATTTTTTTCTGACATCAAAAGTTATGGGCCTCGGAAAAGTCCCAGTTTCTATTTTTTGACGATTTTTTGAGAGTTTTGACTTTACTTGAGAACTGTGATCCCAAATCTGAGATTAAAGGTTCAATTGAAATCACAAGTTGCTTGAATCCCTTAAGTAAAAGCGGCTGTGCCCTATTTTTTCATACAAAAAGCTATGATTCTAGGAAATGTCAAATTTTGGATTCATTGACCGTTTTTTAGACTTTTCTCGCGAACTATCCTGCCAAATCGGATATCATAGGTTTAATCGAAACAACAGTTTTTTGAAAGCCTACCTTTATAATTTGCTACGGTTAAAGAAAAATTATTTCGATCGTGTTTAGAAAGTTTTTGAATTTTCTTAAAATTTACACAATCCAATCTGAGATAAAAGTTCAATTAAAAGAATCGGTTGCGATAATTGTTCCCACAGAAGCGGAGACTCCTGAATTTCTTGTAAGAAGCGTTATCTCCTTAGGCAAATTGATGTACTCAAAATTGTTTACTCTCTGGCGTATTTTAGTAGAGAAACAACAGGTTTTGGGCAAAGTCGAATTTTCGAAATCAAATTTTTCGTGCAGCATCATTAAAGCTAATTCATTCATGTCCAACACGTACCTCCAGCTTTAGCTGGGCTTCTAGTTGTTTTTCGTCAAAACGCACCAAAGTTTTTGGTTCACGTAGTTTTCAATATGGGAATTTTTTCGACCTATGTTTTTTCATGTTTGTGTTGTATCGCAAGTGGTGATAGTTTTGGTAAGAAAATGAAGGTATTTTTTAGATAAAAGACTCACAACTATAAAAGTTATCCCTGATATATAATAAACTGATATATAAAGTTTTTTTTACTGCAACCTAGCTTCGAATGAATTGATGGAATTGTAACTGGTATCGATTGAAGTGTTATTTTAGGACCATCTTCCTCAAACTCGAATCGTAACTCGATCTCGACTCCATCTGACATCCAGCAGCAGTTGAACATCCGCACCAGCAATTTAAACGTCGGCTCAAACTTTGGCTCTCAGAGCTCCCAAGTAAATAATGATGCCAGCACTTTTGCCCCTGGACCCTCAAAGCGATCGCAGTCTAAGAACCCGTTCGATTCCATACAGTGGACCGAAATCACTGATGGTTCCCATTTCGACCAGATGCAATACGAAGTTGGTTTGAATGGGTATCCTTATAAAGACTTCCGAAATGCAGAGAGGAACCCTAATGAATGGAGTTTCTCGCCTCCAAGCGAAGCCTCAAACGACTCCTGGGGTCCAGGCGAGGAAGACGATGACGACAACGATGATTACGATGACGTCAGTCCCTACTTCGTGGGAGAGCGCCCTGACCCTCTACAACTCCCTTCCCAGTGCAATACTTGCTTTGACCCCAACATGTTGGATCTGGACTACTCAATGCATTGTCTGGAATCGCAACTGCAGACTCCGGATCAGCTAGATTATGAGTTCCAGAATGTGCCTCAGTTGAGAACAGATTTCACAGTTTTCAACTCGGTGTTACAGAGGAACAGAGACAAGAATCGCTACCAGGACATCTTGCCCTATGACAGGTCACGAGTTATTCTGAAGTCGCCGGCGGCATCGGGAGGAGTGGGTGGAAACACCGACAGAGAACAGCAAGTTGAGATGGATTACATAAACGCCAATCATCTCTTAATGATTCTTCCCGACAGTTCGAAGCTGAATTACATAGCAGCTCAGGGACCCCTGGAAGAGACCATAACAGACTTCTGGCGTATGGTGTGGGAGCAGAATTGTGCTATTGTGGTTATGTTGACGAATGTTCTAGAACAAGAAATGCTCAAGTGTCATCCATATTGGCCCTACGACACAAACTCGGTTCTCAAATGTGGGCACCTCATGGTCACGTGTCAAAGCCCGCCCATCGAGGAGAATTACGTGACAACGCGTGAAATCTACCTCATAGACTCAAGATACCAGGACCAGAACCCAAGAGAAGTGCACTTGTTGCATTACACTAAATGGCCGGATAAGAAATGTCCGGATAATTCGGAGGATTTTTTGGCATTTGTAAGACGTGTTAGAAAGTACAGAACAGATTTTCTGGGTAATTCACCGCTTTTAGTACATTGTTCAGCGGGCATTGGGCGAACTGGAGTTTTCATAATAGTCGAGACGGCCTGTAGGCTAATTGAACTCGGCATGCCTGTTTTGCCTCTGGATCTAGTGAGAGTCTTGCGCGACCAGCGACCCTACATGATACAGACATCGGAACAGTTTTCATTTGTATGTCGTGCGATATTAACTTATTATAACCAGTTCAAAACCATCAGCAGTCCCATTTCTCTGAATCTGTCAAGCTCTTCTCTGAATTCAGCCTACGACGTGAACAATTTGAGAATCAGTCAGCAACGCGGAGGATACCCGCCTCAAAACCCTCAACACCAATATGTCAGCAGGGTTTCGTCTAGTCACTCAAGCTACTCTCAAAATGAGCTGAGAAACAACCAACAAACTGACTTTCTCAACAGCCCTCAAATGCACAGCAATAACCAAAGGTTCTCACCCCGAGTTAGAAACTCGCCTCACCCTCAATAACGAGCCTCACCGCCACAGTATTGTATCTGATGATATTTAACCGATACCAGCCATCGACCCCGACAAAGTGACTTGAACAAATAATTATATTTTTGATGTCTCTTTAGTACTTTTTGTTTTCGCTGGCCATAAGAACGCCAAGAAAAGTTTCTGGAATCAAACTGAAATTTGTACTAGAAATAGTTGTTTCTATTTTCATTTTGTTCTCGAAGTTGATGAGTTTTCATTCTTCATACAACAATAGGAGAGTGAGAAAAATATCAATATTTTTTTTTGTACATGCCGGATGATTAAGATGAACTGGGTGCTGTTTTTGAATGACCATTGTTGTTGTTTCTGAAGTCAAAATTTAGATTAGTTCATTAAATGACACTGATTTGTAGCATCTAATTTGAGTGTTGTAAATTAACAATTGATTAGGATCTAGGTGCTGATTTGATTACAATTGGACAAGTTTAAGTCCTCTTCTCTTCATGGAATCACAATTACTCAGTCTCACTTTTGTACTGTTGTTCATTTTCTATTTTAAAAATTTTGCGACTGGTTTAGTATTTTGGTTGAGCCAAAAGTATAACTTAAATGGATCTGATCTACGTTGTCTGTGCATGTATTATGCAGAATTTATTTCCTACATTTTTGACAAATTTTCTATTTCGACATTATCTCATTCATTAGACTACATTAACTTGATCTTGTAGCGCAAGCCAAATTTTGTTGGTTTTCCAATTTAAATTTTTCTCGTTTTCTTTTATATCAAGGAAGCAGTGTTTGGACACTGCAGATGGTTTTGAAACAGTTAGAGCAGCTACATTCCAATTAATTGATCAAGGGCTGCTACTTAACCAAAAAAAATAAGCTAATTTTGTATTTCCTGCATAAAATGAGAATGAAAAATTAGTTTGAAAAATTCTATACACCGTAAACTGATCTTAAATGCGACCCCTAGAAAACTAGTCAGCTGTTGTGCTTATTGATTTTCTAAATCTTTTTTTTTGCTAGAATTGATCACTTTGAGAAAAGAGTATTGCGCTTGGAATATTACAAACTTTGTGAGGAAAAATGTGTCCTAATGCAATATTTGTTACTGAGAACTTATTCAGAATTAAATTGATTTTTTTGTTGGCTTTATGGATTTCGTCCCAAATTTGTTCGGCTTACTTGGCGGATGTTTTAATTTTTTTTCAATTATTTTTCTGTTTATTTTTTTTACACTTTTTCAACCTGCTTTATGAACAATTTAAATTGAAGCAGCCATTCAGCGCATTTGGTGTAGAGGTAACACATATGCTTGAAAGGACAAAGGCCTGGCGTTGAAATGTGTCCGGGGCCTTTTTTTTCTAAACTAGAAACTTTTTGTTTTCGAGCTATCGTTCGTCTGTTTATTTTTGTCATCTTAGACCCCGTATCACGAGCTCTTTTTCTAGATTAAGCTTTCTTCAAACTTCTGAATTTGTCTTGTCGAAATAATTGAGTCACAAAACTTTTTGCGGAAGTTTTGTTGCATTTATTTCGGAAATTTTTGCTTCGTCGTTTAGTATGAACCGAATTATTAAACATGCGGCCATTATCCTTGCAATACGTATTTTAGGCTTGTTACCACTTAAGTTTGTTTTGATTCCAATTTAAAGTTTAGTCTCATTTGGCATATTATTAAGAGTCGATGGATTCTTCTATAGTTCGTGATGATTTTTTAAGCAAAAGTCTAGAAATACTTACTGTATTTGGATTTTGATTCCTTGTTAAGAGTCAATGAAGCTGGTGAAAACTCTATTAAGGTGGTGATGATATTTTTTGTTTTTTTTTTCCCACGAAAAGTCTTAAATTTGCTCAGAGTCAAGTTTACTTTTTCGCGGTATGAATTTTAATTTCTTTTAAAGTTCAGTTAATTTCCTTTGTTCATAGGAAGACAAACTCCGCTATCGAACAGTAAAATTGTAGAGGTCTCGAAAAACGTGATCGACTTCTAGTTTCGAAAATGGAAATTAATTATCAGATTTCCCAACGTAATAAAAATGTTACCTATTGATCCAGTTTTCTCAATTTGGGTTACTTTTATCAAAAAATTGTTATTCATATATGTTCTAGAAGTTCAAAGAAAGTTAATTTTTTTTTCAAAATCCGAAAGCTGAGTTTTTCAAAAAAAAGTATTGTTTTCATTTAATTTACGTTCATTGACTCTTTTCCAACTGTCTATTGGTTTCGTTCATTTTTTGAATGATTTTTTTTTCACACAATTTGATTGAAAGATATGAAAATTTTGGTAGAAATTTTGGATTTTTTTCGACTTGTCTTAAGTTTTGTGCTATGGTGTGTTATATTGCAAGTTTTCTGCTTTATGGTTGTCGACTTACGCTTTGTTTTTGAATAATGTGTTTCCATCTTGCATTCTTCTCATATATAGCGTTCGTGGACACTATGTTGGCAGTATATGCTTCTTTTTAAAAAGATTTTTGAAAAACTTCGGTTGATTTTCAGCGTAGCCGACGGCTTTTTTTCTCTCGGCTTTTCTACCTAATATTTTCTCTAATATCAATAAGAATCTGCTCCCCTATTTTCGACTGATTAGAATGAGCCCCTCTAGCAACTCTGTAAAAAACGTACATTAATTTAGTAGAAAATAGTAATAAACGTAAATAAATTTAGTAGATAAAAAGTAAGTAAAAACGTAAAAAAAACGTCTTTATTTAATGTTATTATTTTTTAAATTTTATAGCTCCTTTATTTCATTGTTCGAAATCATATTTGCTAATTCTTGAGGTAATTATGTTCCAGACGTATCGAAAGTTGCGCGAAGCTAAGATAAGCTACTGTGTTGAAATTGCAACTTTTTTGCTGTTTACTTTTGCGATAAGCAAGGGTATTGTAATAAAAATAAGATGAAATACCGGATAATACGAAATCGCGTAATAGAATTAAGCTTAACAATCCCCTCAAAGCATTTTTGGGTAATTAAATATCGGTTTTTCTTAAACTAACTTTGATAGCACAATAAAGTGATCTACTCATTCCGACCACCCCTTCTAAAAAGAAAGCTATGTTGACAAAAATTGCTAAATTTTTAATTGTGAAAATTGCATTGTAACTCAGTTTCCAAATCTCCCCTTAAAGTTAGGCCTTTTAGACTCGATTTGCTTGATTGGAGTTACAAAGAACTACATAGTCAACATTGGAACCAAATTTGTCACTAAGAGTCCTACAGTTCCTTAACTTGTAAGCGAGGCTCCTGAGACAGGTACTGCTAGCTCACATATGTAAAAATTGAAAATTTGGTGCCACATTGCATAGGGAGCAGACTTACAAAAAATCTCATCGCATGAATTGAATCAAATAGATTTGCCAATTAATTTTGCACTTCATATATTGACTTAAAAACAGTAAATGAAGTAAAGAACTGGTATGATAGGTATATTTGAATTATCAAGCATGCTGCCAATTATTGTATCAACCGCGTCTCTGAATTTGCCAGAAAAAATAATATATTAGCTAGTGTTTTTCTCCACACAATTCTTACTACCTCAAACAAAATTCGTGGAGGGTCAAGTATGTTATCACATAACAGCCCTTTAGGCGTGATTCAGATTCGAAAAAAAATCAGGAAAAAGTTGTCTCATGTCGAGAAAAGTTGGTCTAAATATGCGTTTTCAGACTAATTTAGAGGAGTTTTCATGATATGCTGGCCACCGTTTTTCTCTACTTGAAGTTTAAGTTTATATCTAAGCTATTACTACCTTGCAATTCATCACTACCCCAGTTTTGTCAATTAATTCAGTCACCCTTACTAAAACAAGAAATCAGTAAGTCGAGACGCAATTGAAGAATATTGTACATGTACACAAATTTTATTTGTTTTCATTTTATTGAATCATTGTGATCGGAACGATTCCATGTGATAATCCCATTTAAATAGTTTGGCACATAATATAATCAAAATTAGACGAATACAGACATAAAGATTTGTCACCAAAATACAGTCGTCTGTGTTCGAACAAGTATAACGGCTCTTTGAAATATAACCATAAATACAATGAGCAGAGTAGAGAAAAGTTTGAATAGCAAGAATTAAGATTTGAGTTTTTTCAACCCCCGGTCAACAATGCAAGGTCAACTGTGGGGCAGACGGTGGGTCGTACATTTTTTCGCGGCCGGAACAACCTTGAGGAGGCAGAGGATACTGGGAAATTCCTGTTCGACAAAATCAGGTTGGTTTTTTTTCAGGCGCTTTCGCTTTTTAAAATTTTTTGTTCAAAAGAAAACTACTGTTTCGATTTCCAAAAAAGGTATCAATTTAAAGAACTCCTGCTCATATGTGTGCCTGCATAATCTTCTAGTCTCTTTTTTACTTGACCCTACTCTCTACATCCTTCGAAAAAGTCTTCGTGGGGTATATTTGATTTTTTTTGTCTTTTCTCAAAAACTACCGACCCAAGCCTTAATTTTTGGGTTTTATCGAATCAATGGGTTGTTTGAAGCTGCCGTAAATAATCGACTAAGCCCAATTTTCAAACACAAAAGTTTAAGCCCTCAAAAAAGTTAATACTTGGTTTTTGTACCGTTTTTTGAAACTAGTTGACTTTTCTCGAAAACTATCCTCACATATGTTAAGTTCTTCCTTTCAATCGAAACAACAATTTCTGTGTTTATCTTCTGAATAAAAGGCTCTTCCTTGAAAAATTTTCCAACAAAAGATTTTTGCCTCGAAAAAGTTAATACATGGTTTTGGTACCGTTTTTTGAAACTTATAGCTTAAGTGTTCAATCGTGAAACCGATTTTGGAAATATTCTCCGCTGAAGCTGCGTAGCTCTTCTCTTGCAGAAAATTCTTTTGGATCTTCGAACGTTTGACTTATTTAGAATTTTTGGTTTTTATAGCAAACTACTATCGTTGCGCGAATTTTTCCTGCAGAAGCTGCTTATTTATTTTTGTAAGAGAAAGGTTTTTATTTGGGAAATTTCGAAAAATTTTAGAAGTTTTCACTCTTCTCACTTAATTTAGTAGAGAAATACGTAAGGTTTTGGGCAAAATCCAAATTTTGAAATTACGCATTTCGTCCAGCATCGGTTTAAAAATTTCAAAGAAAATCAAACACGTGCCTCCAGCTTTAGCAGGGCCCTAAGTGTTCTTCAACGAGACATGCAAAAATTTTGGTTCATTTAATTTTTTCTACATTTTTATTGACTCATGCTTTTTATGATTGTGTTGTATCGTGAGAGTTGCGAAGCTCTGCTTCGCCTCTGCGTCAAAAACTACCTTCTCAAAGCTGTGGTTTTGGTTTAAATGATAAGAATAAATTTAGAAAGCTCCCTTGCATTAGCGCGACGCCCAGTTTTTTAATACACAAAGTTTTAGCCTTGGAAATAGTCAAGTTTTTGATTCTTTTAACTTTAAAAAAAAATCTTTTTACACTTGCGAAGCGAGTGTATTAGTACGAACCTTCTTTTTTTTCCAAACTCCTTCGCAAATATTTTCTGCCTTGCAATTTGTTACATGCAAAATTTGTGTGGACGCCTCCAGTTTCTTATATTTCAAATTATTACGTGACTAGTGTTTGTCGGTTGTTAAACTTGCATGGCTGAGTGGATTGTGCGTGAGACTCAAAATCTTTTGATTGGAGTAGGTCGCAGACTTGAATTCTACACATAGCCGAGTTTTTGCTAATTCGAGTCTTATTTCTACTTTTTCTTATTTCACTTAATAGAGCTGCTTCTTGGTCGTGTTCTTGCAAATGTTTGTGTTGACTTCTCGAGAACTACCTTCCCAAATCTGAGTTTTTGGGTTTAATCGAAATTACAGGTTGCGTTAAAATGTTCTGCATATGCGGTCACACACATTTTTTTTCAGAAAATGATTCAAAGAAAGTCGATTTTGATTTATTGACCGTTTTTTGAATTTTTTGATTTTTCTAAATAACTATCTAGCCATTTCTGATATCACGGTTTCAATCGAAACAACAGCTTGTTGAAAGCCTATCTGTATAAGCAGTTACTCCAACTTTGCTTAGAAAAAAGTAATGTTCTTCAAAAATGCCACAATTTAAAATTTTTTGCCGATTTTGGATATTTACTTTTTTTCTAGAAACTACCCTCCCAATTTTCACAACCAAGAAACCAGGTTTTTGGAATCTTCTCTGCTGAAGTGGCCACGAACTTTCGACCGTTTTGCTATACACTTTTTGACTTTTCTAAAAAAAACTACCCTAACAAATCCGAGTTGAAGGGTTTAATCGAAAGAATGGGTTGGGAGAGTTTTTCTTGCAAAAGCTGCGACTCGGTAATTTTTTGCAAGAAAAATGTTGTCTCCTTGAGATAATTCTAATTTCTCAGAAATTGGTACTCCTACTTATTTGAGTGGAGAAACAAATTGGGCAAAGTCCAGTTTTTGAAGTTATGTTTTTCATCCCGCATCAGTATAACAAAATTTAGAAATAGTAACACGTACTTCCAGCTTTTGCTGGGCCACTAATTGTCTGAACGAAAGTTAAGGGTCGCCTAGTTTTTTTCAACATTTTTCAATTTTTCCAACTGTTTTTTTAATGTTTTGTGTTGTATCGCAAGTGGTGCGAAGCTCTGCTTCGCGTCTGTTTAAGAAACAGATAAAATATTGTATGAATGCTTGCATACCTTTTCTACATGAATGATAGAGAAAAAATTTTTTCAAAGCGTTTCGCGGTTTGGGCGGGAACTATACAATAGGGTGGGTTCTACCTGTTTTTTCAAGAACCTCAAAGGTGGCTGGTAGTTGATCGAGCATGGTGGCTCGTAGTTGATCGATCTTACTCAAGCGAGCTTTCAAGCGTTGTATGTGATAATTCAATTTTTTGACAACGTAGTTCGCACATGTAATTTCAAAATCAGAGCAAATACTGTGCGTTACTTAAACCAAAAAAATTATTAAAATAAGTGATCATGTATGGATGGATCCACAATGATCAAAACAGTGCTTAAAGCATGTAACTCTTTGCTGGAGGCTACTGACCTCAAATTCGATAGTCTATTTGGACTTGGATTTTTCTAGTAATTTTAAAGTAGATTTGTTTTCAAAGCTTGTTCTTTTATGTTCTTTTGGCTTGTGCGTAATTACTTGTGATCGGGAGTTAGACTTTTTTCCTGTAAACGACTTTAAAACTGTACGATTTTTTTCTTGCTTTGTTATGCAACATGAATATCTATGAGACCCGTCGCACTTGTTTAAGAGGTTGAAAGCTCGTGCGTTCTGAAGATAAGGTGTAGGTTTCGAGTCCCTGTCGGACCTTATTTTTCTTCGATGTGTTTGGAAATTTATTTTATTTTGAGAAAACTTGAATTTTTCTACTATCGTCTGTCCATTTATTTGTTGTTGGCTTTTTCCAAAGCTTGGACTTTTTAAAGAGTATTTTTTCTTCAGATTTCAACCAATTTCAACTATAATTGAGTCTTTCTGACATTTGTAAATCGATCAAGTCTGATTTTGCTCAAAAACCTTTTTTTTTGCTTGTAATGATTCTGCTCATACTATATCGACGTATTTACCTGATCTTGAAGGGACAAAATGAGTTGCTCTGATTTTGTGTGTTTCGGAAGGCATGGGGCATAAAACCTTTGAACTTCACTATTTTGTTTTCCTCTACCCACGTATTGTCGGCTTAGATGCCGCTCAATAATTGATTTTGGACGCTTAATTATTTTGGATACTTTTCCACAAGATTGTCTGAGATAGCCAAAGTACAATTGGTTTTTTTTCAGCGATGTGATGTGGTTTAGCGGATGCTGATGTTAATGTAGAAAGTATCTCCGTGGAGTTTAAACTGTCTCTTCTCTTCACCATGTCCAAATCGTCTAATAGCGTGAACTCTGGTTCAATTGTGGTTCAAGTGGGACAGTGTGGCAACCAGATTGGACCCCAGTTATTCAGGTCAGTTACAAGGGAAGTGTATCATCAAATTCTGTAACAATGTATCAAAAAATAATTAATTAGTTGGATAAACGTCGATTCGTTAACAAACTTTGTTTTAAGAGTAGTGAACGTACTGAAGACTCTTATATAGGTCTTGGTGATTTTTTTGATTTTTTATTCAGGATAAAGTAAATGCTGCAATAACTACATATGGGGGTTTAGGAAATTAGACAACAAGCAAATTAGACATTCCTAGCCCGTCCCTGGAGAAATTTGAAAATGATTGAGGAAAACGTGAGAGGAATTGAAAAAAGCGGCGTGTTATTGGTTAGCCCCACTCTCTTTAATTGATTAGCTTCCCATCCACCAGCTACACTTGTTATTTTCAGACTGGCAGAGGAGTGTGTGACTGGAATGGTAGATAGAAGTGGTGTATGTCGTGCAGTCTGCGTGGACACCGAGGATAAAGTAGCCAATGCCACCACACTCAACAGATGTCTCACTAAGGTCAGTGTTGCTCAAATTTGAGTCAAGCGCAGCTCAAATTGGGTTACAGCTCGTTTTTAATTATCTATCTTAAAGAAATGTCCAACCCGAACTGCACTTCCCTCCCTACTATCTTTCATTTTTTAATGACCGCCTCATAAACTGGACCAAACTTAACCCAAAATACCTGTAGTTATAGCCCGCCAAAGTCAAAAAATATTTTAAGACTTCGGCCACGCTCCAGCTTTGCAGACAACTTACAACAACGCGAAGCGAAATTCGGCTCTGTGTTAACGTTAGCTTTTTGATCAGTTCGGCGCAGTTTTGATTTTTTGAGCAAGTTAACAGTGCTATTCCGTTCCGAGAAAACAGACAGAGTACTCGTTTTTTTTGAGCGAACAAATAATTTTCAGTTTGCATCAGTGTGAATGAACCAGCCGAAGTATGCGCCAGCCGAAATTGAGCAGGGTATATAAACATGTTGAAAGTCACGTCACACTATATAGACCAAGCGAAAGTTTTTTTTGAAACTGTTACATAATTGTTATATCATTGTTAGATAACAATTGTGTACTTTTGGACGCTTTATATTGTAGCTGGTTTATATTTTGACTGTTATATACTGGAGACATTCAGGCATCTAACAAATTTCAAGAAAACGCTTCCAATTTGGCAATGTGTCGAAAAGCGTGAATTGGTTGGTTAACTTACAGAGCTTTTATTTATTTTCAGGCTAGATACCGCCAAGGGAATGTGATCAATGGTCATTTTGGAAGGGGTTCCAATTGGGCTATGGGGTACAATTTAGAAGAACGATACGGGTTCAGGGGCGAGGACAGTTTCATGGATCAGTGTATGGACAAGGTACGGTAACGACCAATCTAATATCATGAACTAGCAGGGTGTTAAGCGTAGTTGAATTGTAGTCAAGAAATATCTCTGAAAAAGTATTTATTCGAGAACGGCGTGTATATTCTGCTTAAACTTCATCTGCCCCCATGAGGACAACGCCATTATTTTTTTTGTCTTATATCGTCCGTCGTTTTTCAGATTCGTTTGGAGGCGGAAAGGTGTGACTGTTTCATGGCCACTGCCATGGTTCATAGTATGGCCGGAGGCACTGGAAGTGGAGTGGGATCTAGGCTGAGCCGTGAATTAAGAGACATGTTTCCCAACAGGTACTCGATTTATTACTCAGTGGTTTCAATACAACCGACAGCCAAGTTGTACGTAGCTAGACAGTCTTACCTATGAGCCTTCTTGTCATTCTATCATGAATTTTGTACTCAGATTTCGTATCTTCTGACTTCGTGTCGGGTTCGCAGATGGGGTCTGAGAAATTTAACGTAAAAGGCCAATCGTGCCTAAATTTCCATGCAGTTTTGAAGTTTTAGACGACCTTCACTCGTGGGTGTTGTCTAAAGAATTGGCAATGCAAAAATTTACTTATTTGCTCGTCTGTCACTTTACTGTTTTGATCTTTGTGTAGAGCAGAACAAATCTAGTATGGTGTCATAGAAAAACAGAAAGAACGAAAACTATTTTCTTTGATCCGATTTAAACGGTGCATCTAATTTTAACATATATACAAAACAGCATTGAGACAATGGGGACACTAACTGAACCTTTTGGTTGCAGGATAGCCATAGAGTTTCTGAAAACGAATTTAAAGCATCAATAATTATACAATTAAGTTTTTATAGGTTCTCATGGTTTAATATCTAAGTTTTATATCAAGTCATGAACTTAGTAAATTCTCTTATATAGGTCTTGTTGATTTTGTTTTGTGTTTTTTTTTCAGGAAAAAGTCTAAAATTTCATCGCGCTAAAATTTATTTTATTTTTTTTTGCGGTTTGACTTTGGATTTAATTTTAGTTTTACTTGATTCCCTTTGTTCAAAGGAAGGCAAGCCGTGTTATCAAACAGCAAAAGTGTAAAGGTCACGAAAAACGTGATTGACTTCAAGCTTCGAAAATGGAATTTAATTTTTAGATTTCCCAACAGAATAAAAATTATACCTATTGATTCAGTTTTCTCCAATTGGGTTAATTTTATCAAACAAATGTCAATCACAAATTTTTTATCATTTTCTATGAGCTTCAAGACCGTTTATTTATTCACTCTAAAATTTGATTTTTTTGCGGTTTGACTTTTCATTTCTTTTTAGCTTCACTTCATTTTCTTTGTTGAAAATAAGGGCAAAGTCTACCATCGAACTGCTAAAAAGTAAATGTCACGAAAGACATGATCGTCTTCTACATTGCAAATTGGAAGATAAAAATCAGATTTTCCAACGGAATAAAATTTTTGTCTATTTATCTATTTTTTTTTCAAATTTGGATAATTTTATCAAAAGTGTTGATCACAAATTGTTCTTGAAATTCAAAGAGCTTCAAGGCCATGTTTTTTCTAAAACTCGGAAGTTGAAGTTTTTTTCAAAAAACAAGTCAGTATGTTTATTTTCTGTTTCCTAAAGTTCATGACTTTTTTCCTACTGTCTGTTGGATATGTGTGCGTTTGCTATGTTTGGTTCGTTCCTGTTTTTTTAGGAAGTTTGTATAATTTTTCCCGTTTTACTTTTTTCTGTTCAGCGAGTTTCTTCGAACAAAATGTTTTCGCTAAATTATTTTTTGTAAAATATTGGCTGATTTGCCTTCCTTGTGTCTTTTTAAGGCCAAAAATAGACTTAAGGCTTCTTGGGTATTTCAGAAGGGGGAAACTTCGATTTCTAAAACTTCATAGCTGAAAATGTTTTGTGATAATTTGTTTGCGGTTTAACAATCGTCTAGCTTTGTCTGCATAGGTAGCGCTCGATGAAATTGCCTTATGACTTTTGCGAGAGCAACTGTCGTGTAATCGGGAACTAGACTGTTTTTCCTTAAACAACTTTTCTTGCACATTTTCAACATGCTTTATTATTCAATCTTATGAACTTGCAGGTTGCTTCACCCTTGGCCTAGAAGTAACGCCGTCGCCTTCGCACCCTAATCTCTGGCCTTCGAATGTTGGCCGGATCTTTTTTTTTTCAGCATGTATGCAATTGAAATTTTTCGGTAAAAATCGATTTGTCGGATAATCGTTTATCTGCTCAAATTTTGTCGGCTTAGTTGGCAAATCACTGATTGTTTTTTGTGCTACAAGCATAGTATCTTGGTAGATGCAAGTGTTGTTCATTGAAGCTTCAATGCAGGGACCTTGTACTTTCATTGTAGGGACTTGAAACTTTTTAAAGTTTTTCATGAAATCTTTTTTTTTCTGCCTCAACTGGTGTCTGCTCAAAGTTTTCCGGATTTATTTCCGCTTCGTAATTTTTTCCCGTTGGTAATTACGCTTGCAATTATTTAAATTTCAAGTGTTTTGCTCGGCATGTTTACCTGGAATTCCTGTTTGATAGAAACAGGTTTTTTGAAAATGTATGGGATAGTTTTTTAGTCGTTTTGGATTTTTCTTTTAATTTTTGCGAAATTTTTAGTTTTTCTCAAAACTATTGAACTGGTTTTTTTAAAAAGGTACCAATGGAAAGACCGCTCACCTTCCGGTGTGCCTGCATACTCTCTTAGTCTTTTTTTATTTTCCCCCTCTGTCTACAGCTTTCGAAAAAGCCTTCATTTTAGGTTTTCGCAAAAACTGTCCTGCCAAATCAGAGATTTTGGTTTCAAAAAATAATAAATACGTGCCTTCAGCTTTAGCTGGGCCTCTAGTTGTCTTCTATTGAGACATACGAAAATTAAGGTTTGCCTAACTTTTGTAACGTTATTTCTTACTTTCTTTTGTATCGCAAGTGGTCCGCTTCGCCTCTGTGATGAATAAACGCTTTTGTTTGTGATTCTCGAAATGTTTCCTCAAAATGAAATTTATTTGAGACAAACGTGTTTAGTTAAGTGTAAAAGGTAGATTTTCCTGCGGAAAAAATAAATCAATATTTGGATTTAAGAGAAAAAAATTTGAACAGCGATTGAAACTGATTAACTTAATGACCGAAATTCAATTGGCATCCAATCATTTTCACGAAGAACAATAAATTTTAGAACAAAGTATCGTTTTATTATTGTTGTTCTGGTGCCTAAGTTGATATCAGGTGTTTGTTCAAGACACTCAATCAGCAGCTAACACTTTTTTTCAGCTGAAGGTTGAGAAGTGCAGCTCCACCTCTATTTAGAAACTTAATTTAGAAATGTTTTTAGGTACATAGTGTCAGTGGTAGTGGCTCCTCTGTCTGTGGGCGAGAACCCGATGCAGTGTTACAACAGTCTCCTCTGTTGCACCCACTTGACCACCACTTCAGACCAGATTATCCTCCTCGAGAATGACTCATTCGCCCCCAAGTTCAACATCGGTGAAGTGATACAATAGGTGGCACACTTTTTATATAATGTGAAAACTAAATTTTTTGTCATATTTATAGGTAATGTCGAGTAGACAGGCGAAGTCATACAATTTAGAGAAACATGTTTTTTCTTATTCGGACAAAAATTTTTGGGCGCACTCGTCATATTATAGGCTGAAAATTAAAGTTAGTTCATGTTTATTTTGGATGACCGCTCGACTAGCATAGAAGTTTGAAAACATGAAAATGCATCGACTAGCACAATTTTCATAGAATTGTTTCTCAGAAATAAAAAATAATCTAGTCAACGGATTATTGTTTTTTTTCTAGAAATGCATCTTTCAACTTGAAGTTCAATTAAAATGGTGAGAGGGTAGTTTTTACGAATTAAAGAAACTTAAAATTTGTTTGAAAATATTCTGCGTTATCTTTCTGAATGGCGAAGTTATAACTATTAAACGACTTCAGAGCTCTAGATGTCTTATTCTCAAGGGACCTGGGTATTTTCGAGGGACCACTCTATCATAGCAGTACCTGTTTCGATTTTAATGCTAGTCGATACGATTTTCAATTTTAAAATTTGTATGCTAAAATTTGCGCTAGTCACCGCGTTAGGTTGGTGTTTTGATTAAAATCGATTAGGCAAATCACCAAGAAAGGACAACTTGTTTTTATTGCATGTATTCTGAGTTTAAACTATTTGAATGATCTCACGAAGCAGTTGAAAATAGTTTGAAATTGAAAAACGAAAGATCCTTTACAGCTATGTGGCAAAGAAGTGGTTTTCTGTCACAGTATATGAAAGAAAAAGCTCAATCTGATATTTTTTTTCGTTGAAGTTTTCCTCATAATTATTACCTTTTTGTGTCGAAATCACCACCTATTGTATAACTTGCTCACTTCAACACAGATAACAGCAGTGCAAGTGGAGATAACAGCAGCAGCTATTCAAAACCAAACACTGCCAAAACTACAAAAGGCAAGCAAGATAGAGTTCGAGAGTCTAGAATGCGCAATCCAAGCAATTTTCTTAGCTTTTTAATGGTTGCGAAGACATAGTGTGAAAGTATCTTATTCTGAAAATTAGTCGCTATAGTCTGAAAGTAGTCGCGTTATTCTGAAAATTAGTCGCTATAGTCTGAAAGTAGTCGCGTTATTCTGAAAATTAGTCGCTATAGTCTAAAAATTAGTCGCGTTCAACTTTTCTTCGGTTGAGCGGTTACGTTTTTGTCGTGCTGGTCGCGTATAATTTTTCATAGGTCGCACCGGTCGCTGATAGATCTCCGAATCTGCAAAATTTGGAAAAACCGAATTTTGGTCGCGAAGGTCAGGAATTTTTCAAATTTGGTGGCAGTCAGGAAACACAAAAATTTTGTCGCATTGCTAATCACAAAACCTCAGCTCGGGTAATGTAGATCTTAGTTTCGATAAGTGCTACTTTGGTAGCAATTTGTATTGGTAGGCTGCATTAGCAATATAGGCACATGTGCTTTGACATTTGATTAGTTATAAGTTATCACAGTTGATGTTTATTAAATGAACCGAAAAAAATTCTTTATTTGATTCTTACAACAATATAATAATTAAAATCCCTCCTCAGTAGTTTTCCAACTCCATATACTTTGCGAGGTGTTTGAAATGCATAATTTAATTGCAATTTGGTTTAATACATTCTAGTTTATCAACTGCAATGTTATTTTGGTTGCCTTTAGTTTATTACATTACAAATTATCAATGAGAATTTTTGTGCATTTTAAAGCTCCCGAATCTTTGCAGCTTTCTCTTTTGTGTTTGCGAATTTGCAGCTTTGTCTGTTTAACTTTTTTTACAAGTATAATGGTCGAGCTGGTTTTCACTTATAAACACAAGTAACTAGTTGCAACGCTGTTTTGTATCTTTGCTTTGGTGGCGAAGGGCGTTGTTGTTACAAACTCCCTCTTACAAAGGCAAATTTGATCTACGATGAGAATAAAGGAAGCTGGTGGCTTTAATAAATGCGTTGCAAGTCAATAAGCTCTTTTAGAGATCGGTGACTGAAAAGTAATCTTGAAGAATTCCCAGCAGTTTTAAAAATACCAAATGACCCATTTTGTAAGTGTCATTGAACGTAGTGAAGACTATATAGATTATATTGGTTTTTCACCGGAAAATTTATTCACGCTGAAATTTGATTTTTCGAAGTTTGACTTTTTTCTAAGTTCATTTTAATTTTTTTTTGCTAAAAGGAAGGCACATTACGCTGTCCAATAATAAAAAAGCAAATGTGCAAAAAATCTAAGCGAGTTTTTGTTTAAAAAAGGATATAAGAGGTCTCAGTGGCATTGAAAAACTACTTAATGATCTAAAAACGAACGGAGTGAAATTACTTTTATAGCTATTTGGTTTGTATCGGGAAAATTCTTAAAATTTTTTCACACTCAAATGTTTTTTTAAAGTGTAACGACTGATTTCTGTTTAAAGTCAAATCCAATTCATTTGCTAAAAGTAAGGCAAGTTAAGCTGTCCACTAAAAAAACTGGAGCTGGCGGTAAAAATGGGTCCTAAGTGTCGAAAGTGATTTTTTAAAAGGCTGAATGAAAAATTACCTATTTCCTCAAATTCGGTAATTAAAAAATGGTTATATAAAAGAATCTTGAAATTAATTTAACGTCAATACCTTTGCGATCAGCAAAGGTGTTGCACCCGGGTGCTACATTTTCCTCACCCCTTTACAGTTTTGTTTTCACAAAATGGTCAATTGTGTACGAAAGGTAAGTTTCACATGTAGACTGCTACCATGCTTTTTCTTGAAATTTCAAAAAACTAACAGCTTTATATTTAGGTAGTAATCAGGAGGTAGAGTTGGTTTCAGGCCGTACTTATTTTTTCAATTTAATGTCTTCGCTAAATATTTTTTGTGGATTCGTGTTTTTCGCTCTAATTTTCTGCAGTTCATTTCCGTTTCTTTAAAGTGCCCCTTATATGGTTTGATGCTTTTGGCTCACTTTGCAAAGCTTCGGTTTTATTTTGATCTTAAACAGTTTTTACTTTTGGTAAATTAATCAAAAAGCTTTTAAAGGATATTTAATAATATCATCCAATACAAACATGAAACTTTTGTAGGTGTTTTTTTTTGACTTTTTTCACTTGTAATCGATTTTTTTCCGATTTTTGTCATAAGTTTACTTGTAATCGGGAACTAGATTTTTTTTCCTGTAAATAATTTTTTTTACAAGGTGCTGCAGTTACTTCCAATTTCAGGCTGCGCTGACAGTTACTTTCAAGTGCAGGCTGCGTTGACAGTTACTTTCAAGTGCAGGCTGCGCTGACATGCTCAATTTCTTGAAAATTCAAATAAAGCTATCCTGTAGTTCATTGTAGATCTTCAATAGTTTTTTCAAATGAAGTTATTGAAAAAAAAGAAAACATTTTCCGTATTCGTGGCTTTCGAGCTGTTCTTAAAAATCAAAATATTTCGACCTGATCTTTTTTTTTGCTTCGAAAGTTGAAAAATGTTCAAAATTTTTCCATCCGTTTTTTCTCGGTTTCATTGTTTTTTTTTGGATTTTTTCAATTCTTTTTTTCGGGCTTTTGCTTTCCGTTCATTTTCTGTCTGGGAGTTTGCAGTGCTGTATTTATGCGGTATCGCGAATGGCACAAAGATTTGCTTCACCTCTGTTTTTCGACTGTTGTTTTTGAATATTTTCTGAGACAAAGGTGTGGAATTTTGATTTTTTCAAGTAATTGTCTTTATCTCTTTCTCTGCACTATCTTGTATGAGGATTGAGAATGTTTAAGAGTCATGGAATTAGTGAATACTCTTATGTAGGTCTTGGCGATTTGTTTTTTTTTTTCAAGAAAAAGTTTTTCAGGAAAATCTGCTCACGCTCAATTTGATTTCTTGCCGTTTGACTTTTGAGTTTTTTTAAAGTTCAGCTCATTTCTTTTGTTGAACGGAAGGCAAACTCCACTATTTTACAGTAAAAGTGTAAAGGTTACGAAATTGTGATCCACTTCTAATTTCGAAAGTGGAGTTTAGTTTACAGGTTCCGCAACGGAATAAAAACAGCAATTTTTAAAAATCAGAATAATAGCTTCAAAACATGCAGAAATCACAGCAAAGGTTTTCGAATCACCACAATAAAAAATAGTAACGATATATGATTAATTTTTGTGGCTTAATAAAAAATTAAGCAATCATATTTTGTTACTACATATATCATTAATCGGCTCTTTTTCTTCCCCCCCCCCACTTGCAAATTTTTATATTTGAAGTTACTGTTCACTTTGTCTGATTGTCATGAAAATTGTCATGCAGACTAATAGGTCATGACAAACATATTTGGTATTCATAATTAACCTTGTAAAACCACACGTTAGACCATAAAATTCATGTTTCAGTGAGGTGGGGGGGGGGGCTCGGAAGGAAAAAGAGCCCATTAATCTACAGAGATAATGCATTCTCTTATCGTTAGTAAAAAGAATTTTTAAATTATCATTTTTTCAATTAAGCATGAAATATTTGATGCAAAACATTTGATTTGAAAGTTTTTGCTTTATTTGCCCTTTCGATTAGCAACGGTATTGTAATTTTTCAACACACTTTTTTTGCTGTTAATCCTTTTTTTTCTCAGAATAGCGAAAGTTAGATATATTAAATTTGCTAATGTACTCTCGTGGATGGCGTGTAGGCCTTACACCCAAATTATTTCGATGTGTTTTATATAGGGCTTGGCGATTTTTTTTTAAATGCTCTAATAACTACATATGGGCATTCATACATATTAATGCATTTATGAAAGCACTTAGGTATATATGCATTTTTTTGAGTTCAATTGAGTTTATCTGCTGAAATTTACGTAAATAGCACATTCTAAGTACGAACGTGGAAATGGCGCAAAAAAATGTGAACAATTTGTAGTTTTGAAAGTGGAACTCAATTTTTAGATTTCCAGCGGAATAAAACCTTCATCTATTGATCTATTTTTCTGAAATTGGGCTAATTTTATCAAAAATGTGTCAGTTTTAAATTTTTATTGAATTTCAAAGGGATTTGAGGTCATTCATTTTTTTTCCTTGCGTTCATGACTATTTTCCAACTGTCTGTAGGCTATGTTTTTGTTGTATCCTAAGTGTTTTCTTCAATTAGTTTTTTCAACTTACTTTTTCAAAAAAAAATCGACTTCCTCTTTTTCATTTCAAAATCTTATAACGCAATGTTTTCGTTGTATCGTAAGTGTTGCGAATCTCGGCTTTGCCTCTGTGTATATTTTTTCTGAACTATCTGAATATTTTCGGAATCTGCATCAGGTCTGTGTGGGCTTCAAAATGATACTGCCTTCCTAAAATCGAGGTACCTGAAACAGTGAGAGAAAATACCCTATCTAATAGTTTTCTCTCACCATAGGTTGATTGGAACGATGAGTTTTAAATTAAAAGGTTCTTGAAATGACATTGTGTTATGCTTTTTTGCCTCATGCGCTTGCGATTAGCAATATTTTTGAGTTATTTAATTTCAAAAACTCAAAAAAAAAAACTCGGACGGAGCTCGAATTCTATCTGTAAGGTAGCAGGAATGTTGGGTTTGATCAAATCAATCAACATTTTGCCTCCAGCTTAGCGGGCATTCTCTTCCCAACAGACGATGTCGCAGAGAGTGGGAATAACTGTTCTGCCAGGTACCGCAATGTGAAACCCGGAATGGAGATTGCAGAGCTGGTTAGGAGTGTGTGTCCCGATCCATCGCTGAGGTTTGAACTCTTTGCCAATAAATCGAGAGATGTCCCTTTTAAAGCAGATAAATAAACGTTGATGATCTTAGCGAAATACCCTTATTTAGGTAGTGTGAATTGTATTTTTTCTCCAGCTAGAACTCCTAAAGTTTGTAGTTTGTTTAGGCTCATATGAAAAAGTGTACCAAAACAGTCGGGAAATTTATGTACACTGAACAAACTATCCGGTACCTCCGGTACAAAATTATTCAAAATCAATCGGGTGCCACTGAAACAGGTATTTAGTCTCCATGAAATAGCGAACGTAACAGATCCATAGCATTATTAGGTATTTTGAACAAAAAACATTACAAAAAAATTATGCTTTTTAAATTTTTTTGGTCGAACTTTTTTTGTGATGCTTGCACAGCAACCATCTATCCTTGTTATATATTGATCTCAATCATCCCATCGGCTTCTAAAACCAAGTTTTGCTTCAGACTATTTGTGTCAGACTGATTGTTTTTCATTTTATGCGTCAATGAGCGTAGTGAAGACAGTTATATAGTTCGTGTGGATTTTTTCGTTTATTTTTCAGATAAAAAGTTTAAAAAAAGTTTGCGCCAAACTATTTCTGGTTTGGTTTTTGATTTGTATAGAAGTTTGTTTCTAATAAAACTTATATTTTTATTGCACACAATTTTTTCTGACCGTTTTTGATGACTTAATTAATTCATCGTTACCTAAAATGTAATTATCTAAAAACGTCTGTTTTTCTTTAAACTTCGAAGTAAGTCTTGTTTTTCTGTCTACTTGCGTTCATTGACTCTTATCTAATTCTCTGTTGGCTATGTTTTCCCCATGGAGAAATACAATTTGAAGCGTACCATATTCAAGCCACCACTTGATAAGAGAAAACTGCATCGAAGCTTCTTACCTGGAGTGAATTAACAGTGTGTTTTTTTTCAAGCCTTTTTTGTTATTGTAGATTCTCAAGATTGGATTCAGTGTCGAAAAGCGCAACGAGTACTGCGACGCCAGAATCCATCCTGCATTCGCTCAGCAATATCTACAAAACGAGTGTTTCATACAACAATCAGAGCAATTCTTACACGCACCCATCTCGATGTATTGCATGTGTCGCCGCGTTTAGAGGTGGCTCGAATTCTGCATTGAAATATGACTCGGTAAAGGAGAGATTGTCGTTTCTCAAACCTGTTGCTTGGAACCCCTTTTGGCTTGACGTTTGGACCAGTGCCGATTGCATTCCTTTATCAGATGTTAACCTGAAGTCTCAATCAGTGTCCTTATGTAGCAATAGTTCTTCAATTTCGAGGTACCTGGATAAAGTTTGGTGTACTGCACGGCACAAGTTTGAACACAACGCCTACCTGCATTGGTATGAAAACTTCGAATGCACAAAAACTGATTTTGATGAAGCTTTTCACACGTTGCAAAATGTTGTTCAGGAATACAACGAAGCTGTGGCATAAAAGCTGCGATAAAAAACATCTTCTGATTGATTAGCGCGAAGACTTCAAACTATTTTAAAAAAATCCAACAATTTCAGGCATACAATCAATTAATAGTATCAATTCGTTTCAAATTTCAGACCACCTCAAGAATTGAGTTCTAGGATTTTGTATATTATGGCTATAAAAAAGAACGGTTTTCGTTACTAGATTGAATAAAAGCTGGAACTCCTAGTCGTTGAATGTGTTCCTTGGTTTGAACACATTCGTTGTTAGGTTTGTAATTAGGTTTCCTAGTGGGGATTACTACCCGGGTCGAGGTCGTGGTTTTATGTTCAGACTCAGTAAGTCTGAATCGATCCGCGTTGGAACCGAAAATTCATAGTCGCAACGCTGGTCAGAGTCTGCTAAGTTTAAACATAAGTCTGCAAAGTCTTAACATAAGTCTGCAAAATTAGAACCTAATAATAATCATAATAATAATAAATTGTTTCCAAAACATATCAGACATTTCATCACTTTATATATTCCTTTTACAAAATGCAGATCATTTTGGTAGATCGCCATTAGGCACAAATTGTCTGTTTTCAGGCGTTTAGTGTTTTAGAATTTTGTATAAACAATTTCAATTTTTTATTAAAATCTTCCAATTTTTATACACAATTTTAATTTTCCACTCCCATTTGTATGATGATTTACACAAACCAGATTGTTCTTTTTCTAGATGCCATCGGGTTGATTGAAGTTTCATAATTGCAAATAGTAATTGTATTTAAGTATAATTCAGGTTTTAGTTAAAAATAATATTTCGAACCGAGCAAAAAATGAGGCACAGCTTGGAGTCTAATCGTAAATTTCATTAATTAGTTAGTTCATCATTACTTAAAATGTAATCATCCGAAAACAGTTTGTTGATCCTGTCCAACTCAGTAAAAAGACTCTTACAAGACTATCGCTTTGTAAAAAACTTGGAAAATCTGAGCTATAGGAGGACATACTCTTGAAAAATTTTCTTATCCTAGCCCAAAGTGGAATTTTGTAATGCTTGCTGCAATCTATGCCATGTTTTTGAGTTTTTAGTGTCCCTGTCTTGATCTTTACCCCTGCGATAAGCAAGGGCATTGCAACCAAGTACTAAACTTTTTTCCTGGAAACAACTTTGTCCACAGGATTACTTCTAGAGGATCTCTACAGGCTCTTCACTTTCTTTTCTATCAGTTAGGTAGGAAATAAGGCAAGTCCGTTTTAGGTTGTAGTTATCTTTTCAAAAAATTTCTCAATTTTTTTTTCGGTTTCGTGGTTTTGTCCTAGTTTCTGTCGGTTGATTTTCCGTTTTTTTCAAACGGCACTTTTTATCTGGTAGGGTTTTTTAGGTAACTTTTTATACCATGGTTTTTTTTCAATTTGAACAGTTTTAACTACAACTGAAACTTCACAATTTTTAAATTTACCATGTCTGATTTTGAGCTGTTCTTTTTTTAAATGTTAAAACAGTTCATGTTATATCGACAGGCCAACTCATTTTGAGTAATTTCGAAGTAAAATATATATGCGTTTCGTATTATATGTTTCTGTTTAGACTGGTCGTAAATTTTATGAAATTTTTTACAACAGATTGGTTTTCGGCTCAACAGGTTTCGACTCAAAGTTTGTTGCCGCTTGGCGAATGATTTAATTTTAAAGGGCTGTTTATGAACTTCATCCGATACAAGTTTGAAGTTTTTAGGTCTAATTTTAAACTTTGTCTTTTAGTTTAGTCACTTTTGTTACTTTTTTAGAGCCATGCCTTTTGAACTGTACCCTGACAACTTCCAGCCTCGCTCCTTGACTTTAATTGTTACTCCTCGCTAATAATGGTCATCCATTTACTCAGTTCTTTACTTCTTTTGACATTTTTCTGCAGAGCTGCATTGACGTACTTATCATTTAATTAATGTTCAATTTTTTTCCTGCTTGCGGGTAAATTCGTGTAGTAATTCTGATAGCTTTTTCCGTTCTTTTGCTTTTTTCTTGTCACCCATATCAACACTTCCTGCTTCTATAGCAAGTCTAACTTTCTCTCTCGCTTCAGAAATATTTTCTTCTGGAAGCGCATTAAATAACAAACAGCCCTGTTCTATTTTCTTCACTCCACTATGGGCTGGCCAAAGTTTAACTTGACGGAAAGCATTGTAACTCTTCTTTCCACTGTTCCACTATGGTGGGGCTTTTGCTGCACGCCTGGCCATACTCCTGCTACCATGTATAAAATTGATAAAATGAATACACTTGAATTAAAAGCCCCACTACATATTACTCTCAAACAGAAAAGTACTGCAAATAAGTTAACAATACATACATACATACATACATTCATGCGTATACTAATACATGCTAGCATGTATACATGCGTTCATACATACATACGCAATTTTACATTTTTACATTTTACATACGCATACGCAGTTTCGAATCAATTTTATGCAAGTAACTAAATTTTCAAGGCTTGAGAGAAACGAAAAAAATTTTACCAAACTTTGAAACTCCTTATGAAAACTTTGAAGAAAGCTTTTTTATTTCGAATTTCAAGTCATCACAAGAAGTGTTATCAAAGGAAGTATACGCAAGCATTATTATACGCAATCTGTAAATATACGAATTCTGTACAATATACGAATTTTGTACATTTGGTGTAAATTCTTAAAACTAACTGAGAGTCATTGATAATAAATTCACTGAAACAATCTTTTTCATGGCCCTTGCTTGCGCACGAAACAAATTGCTATTTGGTCAATCGAAAGGTTTCTGCAGCTTCCAATCAAACTTATACAATTGAAATAAGATATTAAGTTTTGAGAGACTTTTGCTAGTTTTGAGTAGTCGTGTTCCAGTTTTTATAATCGCAAGCTTAATTAGTATGTCCCCCTGGTGCAATTTTTGAAAAATGAAGAAAAAGTGGATTTTCATATTTCAAGTAATCTCAAAAAGTTATCGGACGTAGTACGTGGAGATGGAGGGAATCCAAGCTGCTCATTCACTCTCAAATGTGGCTAATCAGTTGTTCAAAGGGCTACGACCTCCTTCAAAACTGCGACTGTTAAACTAGAACGTGGATTTTTTGCTACTAAGTTCGGATTATGTTTAAACGCGGTTCATAACGATGGAAGTAGGTTGGTTTTTACAAGTTTTGGATGTTGTTTAAAACTATAAATAACAAAGTGGTTTCTCGTCGAAGCCTAAAACTTTTCAATAGCGGACCAACTCAGCTTGACGTAGCTGAGATTTTACTTTAACTTTGATTCAACGATTGATATGACTGTATATCAGAGGGAGGGGAACAGCTTATACCTGCTTCATTATGTATACCAAGACAATGAAGTTGAACATCTTTTATTTAAGAAGAAAAGTCTTGCAAATGTCAATATAATTTCAATGGTTTTTGGCGTGTGCCTGCAGCGAGTATTCAATGCTAGCATTACAATACAAGAACTCCAAAACGTTGTGTCGCAATATTCGCAATTTTTTTACTCGTTGAGTTTGTGCAATGAGACCTGATTCGGTCTCTATCTGTCTAAACCAGAGTCACAAGGCTCACCCAACTGCTGCTTCTTAATGTGGATCAATTACAAGCTGTTTTGAAACATTGCCGCCCACCTTGAATGAGCCAAGTTCATTCAACACTGACTGGGAGTTTCCTTAGTTTTATGCAAGGCCGGACGTAGCAGCCCTTTGCGGTTCTGACCTTAGCTGATCGACATTGGTTGTCTCTCCCAAGGTAGACTTCCACAACCCGAGCTAGTGGCCATTGTAAGGGGGGTTGGTTTTCGTCCATCAGAAGCGCAACATCACCCACTTCAAAGTTTCGTTGTTTTGAAGTCCACTTCTTCCGTGGCTGCAGAGAAGACAAGTACTCCTTGCTCCATCGCTTCCAGAAGATTCCAATGAGTTTCTGCATATGTGCCCACCGTTTGGCTGGATGAGTTTCAAAGGACTGGAGTGTACTTGTCGTCAGTGGGGGGCACTGGTAATGGTAGGTACTGCATTTCTTTCCCTTTCACCGTCATAGCTGGTGTTAGGGTTCGTACGTCCAGAACTTCGGTCGAAATCGGGAGGAGTGGTCGTGAGTTGAGGATTGCTTCAATGTCGCATAGAAGAGTAGAAAGTTCCTCGTACGTCAAAACATTGTTCCCCATGACTCTTCGCAGATGTGATTTCGCAAGTTTCACGCTCGATTCCCAAAGTCCACCAAAGTGGGGAGCTCTTGGTGGAATCATTGTCCTAGTGATGCCAATCTCATCTGCAGCACTTGGCATTGATTGTTTTCCGAACTTCTTGGTTAGGTTCATTTGGAGTTGCATTAGTTCATTTTTAGTTCCAACAACGTTCAGTCTGTGTACATCCTTGCTGGAGCACCTCCCATCTAGCACGTCTCAAGGCAGCAGTACAAGACTGGGAGGACAAACCCGATGTTAGCTCCAAATGTATGGCCTTTGTTGTGAAACAAACAAACAAAGCCAAATATGACTTTGACAGCTGTTTGCCATTCAGTGTCACAAAAGGACCAGCAAAGTCCACATCTGTGTGAGTGAATGGAGGCGAAGGCGTTATTAGTTCTATGGGTAGGTCTCCCATCAATGGTGGATTTGATCGTCCGTTGAACCGTTGGCACTTCACACAGTTTCGTATGAGGTGACGAATTGCTGCTTGCGCGTCCACAATCCAGAAATGTCGTTCAAGTTCAGCAAGGATCGTATTTGCGGGAGCATGAAAATACTTCAGATGAATGTCCTGCAGGATGAGTTTGGCCAGTCGACTTTTCTTGGGTATAACGATTTGGTTGCGCGAGGTTTTTGTTCTGCGTCAGTCTCCCGCCCACCTTGATGAGTCCGTCATCAACGAAGGGGTATAGTCGCAGAAGATGGCTCTTCTTCGCAACTGATTCGCCAGCGTTCAATGCCCTTAGTTCATCACTGAAGAACTTAGTTTGTTCGTTTCGTATTAGCCTCAGAAGGGCGTTGCGTCTATTCGTCAAAGAAGTTGGATGATCGTAACTGCCATATTCTGGGTGCTTCTGCTTTCGATGATCAAAAAAGGCAACATAGCACAATACACGAGTGCACTTCTGTAGACTGCTAAAAGTTTCCAGATCGACTAGTGCGTCCAAAGTAGGTTTGACTAATTGGGAGCTATTGACAACTGCGTTTTTCTTTCTTTCAGAACCAACTTTTGTTAGCTTTGGTTGGTCTGGAATCCGAAGTTCAAAGAGCCAGCTCGGTCCATGCCACCACAGTGAAGAGTTTTTCAGCGTCATTGCATCGAGTCCACGAATTGCAGCATCCGCTGGGTTTTCCTTTATTCGTCCATGGCGCCAGTTGACTGGTTTCAAAACCTCCTGTACTTCATGAACTCGGTTGCGAACAAAAGTGTTCCAGACGTTTGGGGTCTCGTTGATCCAACAAAATACAATCGTGGCATCAGTTCATCCGAAAACTTCCTTCGGATTCAGTCCTATCTTTTGAAGTGCTTTCCTCGTATGGTCCAGCAACTTGCATCCTAGCACAGCTGCACACAATTCCAATTTGGGGATCGTCAAAGGTTTCAAAGGTGCCACTCTTGATTTAGCCACAAAAAGATTGGTTGATTTCGTCTTCGTGTTCCTGACGTAGATACAACTGGCGTATGCGGTTTCTGATGCGTCACAAAACAAATGAAGCTCAAAACTGTCCTCCACAACATGTCTCGGTATGTCAAAATTCTCCACATTGTGAACTTTAGTCCTCCACCTTAGAAACGTCTCCATCATATCACCGGGGATTTTGTCGTCCCAATTGATTCCCCGCGACCAAGAGGATTGCATGATGAGTTTCAACGGAAGCGTCATCGGAGTCAGCCCAGAGGAACAAAAGATCTTAGAGATGTCTGAGAGTAGAGATCGTTTTGTCATGTTCTCCTTCAGATCGTGGGCTACTTTGAAGACGAAGACATCGTTTGTCGGAATCCACTTGATTCCTAATGCTTTCACAGAGTAATCTTTTGCTGAGAACTCGTGTTCGTTTTGGCGCAACTCACTGGGCAAGGATTCCATGACTTCTGCTGAGCTGCTTACAAATTTTCGTTGAGGAAACTGTTTCGTTGCTAGCTGACACCTAACGTCATTGATCAGTTTCTTTGCAGAGGGTATGTCATCCGCCCCAGTCAAACAGTCATCGACGTAGAAGTCTCGACTGAATGTTTCTTCGACACAAGAATGCTTGCCTGCTTCTATGAGTGATCGAACAGAGTGATAGCAACTGCTAGCAACCCCATATGTCACTCGGGTCATCTTGTATGTATCTGTTGGTTGGTCGGGCACATCTCTCCAGAAAATTCGGCGGAAGTCCTTATCCTCCTTGTTAAAAGCCACCTGACCATACATCTTTGCAATGTCTCCGGTGATTCCAATGGGGTAGCATCGGAATCTTAGCAGATGATCAAACAAATCGTCTTGAAGCTTGGGGCCAACCATCAGTGCATCATTCAGGTGAAATTCGGGTACTAGTAAGAGCACTAGCGTCCAAGACAACTCGTAGCTTTGTAGTTGTACTATCCTTTAGAACGCAGTGGTGGGGAAGGTAGGCATCTTTTCTCTGACATTGCGAGCTCATCTGGTGGTACAACTTCTAGGTGACCCATGTCTCGGAACTCTTTGATGAAGTCTCGGTACTGAGTGTACAAAGCTTGCGTTCCAGACTGAAGAATCGTTTGAGTGCATTGGCTTTGCACTCGCCGAGGGTTCCAACGGTTGTCTTGAAAGGCAAACTAACAGAGTAGCGACCATCTGGCTTAGTTATGGTTGTTTTGACGAAATGATCTTCAACAAATTCTTCTTTCTTCAATCGAGGGCATCGGTTTAAAGGCAAGTCCTCAACTGTCCAAAAGCGACTAATGTCCAGATCAGACTCCTTACTGACGAAGTTTGTTTGCAAAACTCTATCAGCATTGCGCTTGCTTAGTAACTGTACTGATCCACTCACAATCCAGCCAAAAATTGATTCATCCAAGGTGAGAGATCCTTCTCGTATCCGTTTACCAGTGGTGAGCTCGTTTGCCAGTTCAACACCACATAGAAGATCAATCCTTCCTCTTTTGTCGAAAGCTGGATCCACCAGCGCATATCGAGATGGAAGGTTATGTTCGCGTACATCCACATCGTCTCCTGGTAGATCTGATGTGACTTGAGGCATGATGATGAAGTCTGCTCGTAGTGTGTCTTCTCCAGGCAATGACAAAGTTATCGGAGCCAGTCCTCTCGTCTCCAATGGGGGGGCAGTTCCAACTGGTTTCACTGTTTGGTTGACTGATTTACGAGGCAATCCTTTCCGTCGTACGAAGCTTTCACTGACGAAGTTCAACTGCGATCCATTGTCTATCAAGGCACGGTAAATGATTTCTTGTCTGTGATAGTTGAACAGCGGTATGCTGCAAGTTCCAAGTAGGGCCGTTTTGTCAGGTTCCGTAGCACTAATTACAGTACACAGGTTGTTTCCACTCGTATGACAATCGTTCAGTCTTTCTCTCAGTTGTAATCGGTTGTTCCCTGCGCTGATTTCCGCGTGAAGAAGAGAATGGTGTCTTTTTCCACACTGCTTACCATATGTCCTGGGCGCAAACAATTAAAGCACAGTCGTTTGGAAGTCACTTCGTCTTTCCGTGTATGTACTTTCAACTTCTTGAACTCGTTACATGCAGTTACATTATGAAGTGATCCACAAAACACACATTGCTCGTCCACAGTTGTTGCTCCATACGATTGCCTTCGGTCGATTTTACTTTGGACATCAGCATGTGCTTCAATTCGAGTCGTTGGTTTCTGTAAAGTGATTGATGACTTCACTGCTTCTAGTGCCCTCGCTCGCGCACCAATGAAATCGTCAAGCTCGTGTAATTTCTGAAGCTCTACGCCTAGGTTGTGAAGCTGCCATTGCTTTTGGCTTTCCGGGTCCAGTTTCTGCTCAATCACATGGACCAGTATTGGATCCCAGTCTCGAGTATTACAGCCTTGCACTTCTAATGCAGCCACGTTTTCGCGAAAACACTCCAAAAGCTTCCTGAGGCTTGTTCCATCTTAGGTTTTCAAAATCGGGTAGTTCAACACAGCACTGAGATGCATGCTTACAATGAACCTCTTGTTGTCGAATCGGTCCATTAGAGTCCTCCTTGCGAGCTCGTAATTCACGTCTGTTATTGCTACATTCTTGATTTTTGGAGGTTTGGGTTTCCATGTACAGCAGAATCGAACTGATCGATGAAGCTCGTCCACTCTGTATATTTACCACTGAAGGAGGGAAGATTTATCTTAGGCAACTTGATCTGACTTGATCTTGCTGAGAACATTGTATGAAGCCCGTTCGCTTCTGCTGTCGATCCTCTGGAAGACGCTTGCTGATCTTCCAAGAAATCATTCGTCTGCTGAATTAATTCTCGTACCTCCGCTCTGAACTCACAAGCCGTTTCGAGCTCGGTTTGCAGACGTTCGTCTGGTACAACGTCCTCTATCAATCGATCCTTTTCGCTAATTGATGTGAGAGTCTCTCTTATGACAGCAAGAGAAATTCGCAAGCCAGCAAGATCGGTCACTGGATAGGACGATCGGATTGAGTTTATTCGATCTCTATGCTTAGAAATGCATGTCTTGTGACCACTTCTGGACTGAACCAACTTCAGGTATGTTCGTCCTGACTGATCGTTTTGTCATTGTTGCGCGCTCACAACAGCTGGTTGATCGCTCTGCTCGTTCGCATTGCTCTGACCTGGTTGCTCGTTCGCAACTGATCGTACATCGCCTTGCTCGTTCGTGAAGCTTCGTAGATCGTACTGGTCGTTGGTATCACTCATAGTTCGTGGTTCTTGGTTCGTTGTTTCTGGGTCGACGCGTATCAATGGTTTCTCGCCGAAGCCTAAAACTTTTCAATAGCGGACCAACCTAGCTTGACGTAGCTGAGATTTTACTTTAACTTTAATTCAACGATTGATATGACTGTATATCAGAGGGAGGGGAACAGCTTATACCTGCTTCATTGTGTATCCCAAGAAAATGAAGTTGAACATCTTTTATTTAAGAAGAAAAGTTTTGCAAATGTCAATATAACTTCAATGGGTTTTTGGCGTGTGCCTGCAGCGAGTATTCAATGCTAGCATTACAATACAAGAACGCTAAAACGTTGTATCGCAATATTCGTATTTTTTTTTCGTTGAGTTTGTGCAATGAGCCCTGATCCGGTCTCTATCTGTCTAAACCAGAGTCACAAAGCTCACCCAACTGCTGCTTCTTAATGTGGATCAATTTTACAAGCTGTTTTGAAAATTTCGATAATTCGATATAAAATCACATTACATAAAAAGGGGTTTAATCTTTGTTGGTTTAAATCATTTTTTTTGCGGTTATTAATTTCCATTTCATTTTTCACTCCGCTAAGTTGCTTGTTGCAAGCAACACAAAGGATTTGGTATTGTTTTATTCCCTTGCGGTCCTGCATGTGTGTTGCAACAATGCACAAGATGTTTTAAGTTATGTTAGTCATCCGCAGAATAGATGAGGTGGTATTTAAATTATTTTCATCTTCAAAATTGTTTCTGTTTCTACCCTGGTCATAAGCAAGGGTATTGAAATCGGGTACTAAACTTATTCTCCCGTAAAAAACTTTGTCCACATGACTCGTCGCACGAATTATCTTTCTTTATTGTATCGCAAAATGCGCAAAACTCCGCTGTGTCTCTGCGTGTAACAATTTTAGCCAAGATAATAGCCTTTTAATTGTATTAAAAGAAGATTTTTATTGAAGGAGATGTTTGAAAACTTTATTCGAAGTTTCTAGAAAAAAATATCGTTTTAAAGTGTCAACCTGATATTATTTTTTGTTCTTTGCTCACGAACTTCTTATTTTTCTCACGTTCCAGTTACGTTAAATGTTTTAACACAAATTATCCAGTATCATTTTTTGCATTTTGTTAACTGATTTTTGTTCTGACTATTGGAAATGGGAAGGAACGTTGAGTTCGGGTGTGCTTTAGTTTTTCTTTTTGTTTTTTGTTGTTTTCCACGCAAAATCAAAATCAGGTACCACAAATAATCATTGGATCGGGTTGAGTGATATTTCATGTTGAAAATGTTTCAGTTCGAACAACATCTAAAAGTCACCAAAAAAATCCCAGTGTCGAGAAAAACAGTTTTGAAATTTTTGCTTGTTAGTCAATTTTCGAACAAATAAAATGAAGATAAGTTGTTAAATTAGTCATTTAGGCTTACAAAAACCTCGATTTTTTCAAACGGAAACTAATCTAGAAGGTTATATTTGGCATTTCTTCGGTAAGAATTGTTTTTAATTTAAAAACATTTTCAAAAAAATGAAAAAATTTAGAATTTTTTTTTTGATTTTTTTCATTTTTTGTTTCTTATTCTTTTTTTTTGAATATAACTATTGTCAATTATGCCTAATTAACTAACTTTCTACGCGTGTGTGCAGTTTAATCCTCACACGTAGTAAAAATGACACTAATTTGAAAAACTTCTATTTTTAGTTTTTATAAACATGGTCGGAACATTCTGTTCTATTTGCGCAGCAACTGGCCAGCTTTTTTTGAAATGTTTGATTGTTTTTTTTTTCATATCTAGCTAATGTTGATTCCGTTTTAGTGTTCTTTGTTATAGACAAATAGTTCAAGGCAGTGCTATCTTTGTATATGTTTGTTTGGTTTCAACTGTACTACGGTAAGACATTTTTTGCTTTTGTTTTCCACTTCTTAAATTTTCAAAATAACACAGTTTTTTTTCTGCGTTGTTTTTTTGATTTTTGCTAAGAATTCTTCTTTCGAACCAATCCAAACTCAGTTTCTAGATTTTGATTTAAATTGATACTTGTCGGTTGATACTTGATAAATCATACTTGATACTATTTAAATGGATACTTGTAAAACTTAACTTTTCTAATTTAGGAATAGCTTTGTAAATTTAAGTCTTGTTTGAGAATAGAAACTAAAAATGTGGTTTTTCAAATTTTCATCAGTTTGAGATTCACAAATAAGTTTGTCACATGTCTTCCGAGCAAACGAATGCATTCAGAGGCAAATTTAACATTTTTTTGAGGAGGGGTGTCGGATTTTCAAAAGTTTTCAAAAACTGTGACGACTTTTACTTTAGGTCGACCAAATTGATTTTTCCAGCTCTCCCAAAGCACTAAAAAGACCCTATTTTGGCCAAATTTTCTGCGCCGTAGCCAAAATTTTAAAATACAGACCGAAAAAGGAGTTTTTCGGCGTGCGCTCCCCACTGAAATCTGATGTATATTGGCGCCGAAGGCTATTTTGGAATATTTTAAGGACCGCCACCAAAAAATGGATGTTTCAAAATAGTAACAAGGGGGTCCCATTGGGTCGGCAGGGGTTCGAATCCCTGATAGGGGAGTTTTGTCCGACCCCTTTCCACTCAAATCTGCCCCTGAATGCACTGCAGGCAAGTTCAGGCCCTGA